GCCCAAGTAAGCACTCGATCGGCTGGTTTTGGTAGGCGTGGGCGGGGAGGATCTCAGAGATCGGAAGGCAGTGCGACGCTTCGTGAGCTGGGTTGGAGGGAGGGAGGGGGGGCAGCTGGGACGACCGGCCGTCAAACGTGCGGCGGCGTACCAACGTTTGTCGTCAGCCCACCCGTGGAAGTCTCCAGCAGTGGCGAGCTGGTCGTGTGCGGCGCCCTGCGCTTGTGATGCTGTGTTGCGGGCCCGACTGACGCGGCGCCCGGCCGCGGCGCTCGCCAGGTTCCGGGAGCGGAGCGAGATCGAAGCGCTCTTCTTCGACATCAACACCAAGCTGAAGGCGCTCAACAAGCCGGCCTTCTCGCCGCCTGAGGGTCGGCTGATCCACGACATCGAGAAGACGTGGACGCAGCTGGACAAGGCCGAGCACGCGCGCGAGGTGGCGCTGCGCGCCGAGCTGCAGCGTCAGGAGAGGCTTGAGCAGCTCGCCTACAAGTTCGAGAGGAAGGTGAGCGGATGGACGAGAGAGACAAAGAGAGCGCGCGCGGCGCAGACCGCTGCGGGCGCTCTGACCGACGGGGTGGAGGCGGACAGGGGGTTGAGGAGTGAGTGGTGGTAGTAGATAGAGTGACGGGATTGGGAGGAGGGAGGGCAGAGCGCTGTAGATGGCGGTCGCTAGAGGCTGTGGCATAGAGAGACAGCAGTTACGGGAACAATCTGGTGTGAGGCTGCTCCGGATGTTATGCAGTTGAACCCTGGAATGACCGGGAGTCCCACTTTGTGTGTATTTTCGCGCAGGTCCTCCAGTGACTCGCGACGATAAACCACACTTGTTTGGCAACCCTCGGACGGATTTGTGAAACTACTGACCGCTGGCCGTGACCGCTGACCCTGACCACTGATCTCTGACCGCGACCACTGCCACTGACCGACCACTGACCTGACCACTGACTGACCGCTGACCACTGACCACTGACCAGACTGACCGACCGCTGACCACTGAACTGACCACTCGACCACTGACCACTGACCGCTGACCGCTAGCACTGACCGCCCGACCGCTGACCGCTGACCTCTTCTCCGTCCGCAGGGGTACTTGCGCGAAGGCTACCTGAAGGAGATGATTCAGGTGTCTGTCCGACCCGCGCTACGGCAGCAAAGTCACACAGTGGAGGCCACCGTGAAGAAGCACGAGGCCATCAGCGCCGACATCCTGGCCTAGGGTAGGTGGGCCCGCCGGCGCTCTCCCGAGGCCCGTCAGGGCGAGACATCTGCTCTCGTGTGTCGACACTCGGCCGCTGCGCGACGTGTTGTGTCCACTGGGACAACAGCTGCCTTCGATTACTCGAATGCCTTTTATTATGTTTTGTTCTCTCGTTGCTGTCCCGAACAGTCACCGCAGCGAAGGCTGAGCGAAGGTGATGGGAGGTGATATATAGCTGTTGCGGTTGATCACTGACAGCTTTAGACTCTGACGGCATGTTGTCATGACAACTCATGATATGCAGCCTGTTTATTCTGACGCATGTTGTCTGGCTGTGGCCTCGTGCTGTGCGCTAGATGTGGTATGTGCTGTGGTGTTGGCCTAGTTGGTGTGTTAAGCCCTAAATGGTCAGTTGCGCCTGAGAGCGGCTCGTGGGGCGCCGCAGAGCTCGTGGGCTGACCTAGATGCCCCCGTCCTGTCCGCCAGAGGGAGCGGTTCGCCGACCTGGTCAGCATGGCCGACGAGCTGGAGCGGGAGGGCTACCACGGCGCGGCGCGGGTGCGCAGCCGCGAGCAGCAGGTCACCAATAGGTGGCAGCACCTGCTGCAGCTGCTTGACAAGCACAAGCAGACGCTGTCCAGCTTCTCTAGCTTGATGACGATCCTGCGGGAGATCGACACGGTGACGACCACCATCCGCGACATGGAGGTGCGTGGCCTCCTCCCGACCCGCTACCGTCTGAGGACAGCAAAACAATCCGTCGGCTTTATGGATCGAGCCTTTTGTTTAGTGTTGCTGCGAGCGACGGAAGAGGGGCGGGGAGGGGGGGGGGTGGGCGTTGGGATCACTGCGTGCCCCCTCGTGTCGAATGGGTACATCTGGTGTGCGCTGTCACGGTCATCAGGCTCCGGGACGGGACAGAGGCGCGTCGCGTCATCACACGTCGTAGATGCGATCCTACGGTGGCTGTCGTGTTTGTGGCGCGCCGTCCGAGCTGGCGGCCGTGACCCGGCCCCCGGCCTCCCCCGCAGAGTCAGGTGCAGTCGGAGGCGGCGGCCGGTCACTTGCTGGCTGTCGAGGACCTGATCCAGAAGCACAGCCTGATGGAGTCGCAGATCTCCAGCATCGGCGAGACCATCCAGCGGCTCAACAAGCAGGCCAACCAGTTCATCGCCGCCGGACATAAGGAGACGCCCGCGCTCCAGAAGAGGCTGCAGACGCTCAACGACGAGTACAAACAGTGAGTGGCGTGTGCCCTCCGGCGGCGGGATGGCGGCCGCTCGGCGCCGGCTGTGGGCTGCGCCACCTTAGGCCGGCCGCCCTGTGCATGGCCAAATGGTCTCTTTTGTGATGTTGGCCGGCCCGCCGACCTGGCGGATGTCGGCACCATTGCCGGTGACTGGGCTCATCCGTGGTGGGTGCGTACCGGCGCGGCGGCTGGCGGCTCACAGCTGAGGCTGGTGGCTGGCGGCTGACTGACGGCTGACCCCGGTCTGACGCAGCCTAGTGGACGAGAGCGGCCGACGCAGCGAGCGGCTCGACGAGTGGCGCAGCTATCTGCAGTTCGTGCAGGACTGCGAGGACGAGGAGGCCTGGCTGGTGGAGAAGCAGCGCATCTGCACGGCCGGCATCACCGCCAAGGACCTGCGTGCCGTGCTCGCCATGCATCAGAAGCACAAGGTAGGCGCTGGCGGCTGGTTCCGGTGCGGCCGGTGGTGCTGTTGACGAGGCATGTGCCCCGACACCCAGGCTACAGGACCGGTCCCGGGCTCTGATGTCGATGGTGGAGGTTTGGCGGTATAGCCCAGGCTCGGAGCAGCCGAGGTGGTGGCTGAGGTACCGGTCGGCGGTCAGTGAGCGGCGCCGCATGCGGTGGCGTGACAGGTGGACCGGTGAACCGCTCGTGGCGCGCGGTCTATGCGTGAGCGATGCCCGATCCGCCGCACGATAAACATCCGGCGTGCCGTGCTGATGTGTGTGACGCCGCGTGACCCGGAGCAGCCCCAGCAGCGCGCTGGCGGGAGGTGCCGGGCTTGTGCTCGGCATGAGCTGGGGATCTGTGGTGGTGGCCGCCAGCCGCGAGGGAGGGTGGTGCCGGGCTGGGGCGGACAGGGACGCACCAGGGCCGCGTCGCTGCTGTACGGCTGACCCGTGCTCTTCCGCTGGCGGTAGGGGAGTGGCAGCACTGGTAGCCCGTATAAGGTGAGCCGCCGGGCGGGTCCGGCAGTGGCCGTCCGCCCGCGCCGCAGTGTCGTCGGCTCGGCTGTCCGCGCTGTCCTCCGTACGAGCTCGACAGGGGTGTCAGCGGTGGCGGCGCCGCCCATGCAGAACTGCCAGCTGTCTGCTCTGCCAGGGGCTTTTCTGAGCAGGCTCGGGGCAGGATGTACCTGGTTGTCGGCCAGTCGTTCCCGCTGTGCGTCGCGTGCTGTCGTAATGCGTTTGTGGAGTCGGTGGCCCGGGGTATGCCAGCCTTTCGCAGGGACGCTGCGCGCTGGCAGAGCAACGAGCTGTAAATTGCCAACTTCCTTGTTACTTCGTTATGACGTCCGCTGTGCAACAGAGTTGCAAAATTCTGCTTGCGGCTGGCTTATGCGTCCGCAGTCATGGTGTCTGTGTTTCACGCTGAGAAGGCGAAGCAAGTCTTCAGTAAGTCTTCAGCAAGACTCTTGGCTGGGTTTGTTCCGACCGTCATCCGCTACTACCTGTTGCCCTTGTCCCATCTTGTGTTTGGTATCAATGCACTCAAATTCGACGGCATGTGGCAGTCCATCGCTGACGATTGTGCAGTCTCGCGGACCTCCGTGCGGTGCAGCCGGCCTGCGCCGCCGTGTTCGACGCTCCTCGCTAACGCACGAGCTTGGCGCAGGCGCTGGAGGACGAGATGCGGGTACGGCGGCCCAAGACCGACAAGATCTGCCGAGCCGGCGAGCAGCTGACTGAGGCCAAGCACCCGCAGAGCGCCGACATCCACGCCAGGTGACGCCTCCGGCCGGCGCGCTGCGCTCGTCGCCAGTCCTGGCGCGGCAGGAGCGTCCGACACACGGCCGCCGGCCCTCGCGTGACGGTCTGGGAGTCGGCCGCGGGTGGGCGGGTCACGATACGGACCGTTTGACGCTGTTGGGGCGCGGGCAAACAGTGGGTTCACGTCACTAGACCACCCACGTCTGGTGTGGCCGCTGCCTGTGAACATACCCTTATGGAGCAGCTGACACAAGTACCAGTAACAGCGGCGCGCTCATGATCGCATGGTCAACGTGACGAAGTGGTGACGTGTGACGGCGTGTTTCCACTGTCCCAGGATCGTGAGTCTGAAGCAGAAGTACGCCGAGCTGGAGGAGCTGGCCGCCCAGCGGCGCCGACAGCTGGCCGAGGCCGCCGAGGCCTACCAGGTCAGTCCGGCCCGGCGACCGGGCGGCCGAGCTCCCTTCGACGGCGCGCCACGGCCCGTCTGTCCGTCTCCGGGCATATGGGGAACACCCTCTCTATCGGTGAAATCTCGGGCTCGCCTCAAGGAACCCCGTTGGGACGACCGCCCCTGCTGGCTAGTCAGCCGACTGACGTCTGTCCCCTTCGTCGGTCTGCGAAGCACTAGATCCAGCCGTGGGCTGGCCCCCGACGCTGGTAGGCGGGTGCCAGCGGTATCCAGCTTATCTCCGCAGCGTCCTGTGGTGTTATTGCCTTCTGGAACTCTGAACGACGCTCTGTGCGGTCCGTGTATGCCCTCCGTGTCTGCATCTGTACCGGCGCGAGCGCTGATCACAGCCGCGCCGCACGCAGTGATCAGACGCGCTGTGCACTGCCGGCGCCTGGTCGGCCGAGCCGGGCGCCGTCGGCCGCCGTCGGCCGCGCGTTACCACCGCCGCCTGCCGCAGTTCTACTCGGACGCCAACGAGGCCGAGTCGTGGCTGAAGGAGAAGAGGCCGCTGGTGGCGTCGGCCGACTGTGGCTCCGACGAGCCCAGCGCTGCCTCGCTGCTCGCCCGGCACAAGGACACGGTGGGCGAGATCAACGCGTACCGCGACGACATCACGGCGCTGGCGGCGCAGGCCGATAAGCTGCAGAAGGCCGGCATCACCTCCCTCAGCGTGAGTGGCGGGCGCGTGTTGGCGTAATGACGTGGGAGCCGGGCCACATACCAGGGACGGAAGCTGATGATCAAGATGTCATACGCGCTTGGTCAGGCCGCTCTGTCTTCAGTGGGCGAATATCAATGCAAAGCTCTCAGATTTTCGGCCCGGTGATCTATCATGGACACCATACAGATATGCAGTCGCAGCTCTCGAAAACAAAAATCACCGGACGCACCGTCTCTAAACCGAATCAACCGAAACCTCGTTCACCTCGTGGCAGCGGGCATGTTCGGCCGCGTACCACGATTTGTCATGTGTTCTCGTGCGTCCTTCACCTGAGCGCGTGTATTTTGTTAGTGCCGCGAGTTTGACGCCGTTGCCGTGCTCGGTGGCGCCGGCGAGGCGCGCGATGGCTGGCGTTTGGCATCTCCGCCCAGTGTTGCGGGGCCCAGCCCCGCCGTGTGCATGACGGCAGCTGTGTGCGTCTGCCGACCGTGACGGCGCCCTGCGCTTGCGCGGCAGCTGTCCGGGGCACCCGAGCTGGCCGAGGTGGAGGAGTGGAGCCAGGAGACGCGGCTCGTGCCCAAGGAGGTGTGGGAGGACGAGCCGGTGGAGCGCACCGAGCACCGCATCGTCACCGAGGAGCGCAAGATCCCGCAGGTCAAGGCGCTCTACCCCTTCCAGGGCCAGGACATGCAGATGGCCAAGGGCGAGGTGAGAGGCGCGGGGCCTGTTGCAGTGGCGTCGGGCCGCGTGCGATGTGGAGAGGACCTCCTCGGGGAGCGGCAGCCTCTGCTGCTGAGTGACTGTCGTGACGTCAGGCGTGGTCTGGGCCTGACCGCGGTGGCACGAGACGTGCGGTTGTGTGTGTGCTAAGGACGAGCGCCAAACTCAGACGAACCGCGCGGAATGATCACAGTCATGGTAGACGCTCACTAAAATTGCAGTCATCGTCATGACCAGACCCGACCAGCTGCGGACGTAGATGACCTGCTGTCGGAAATGTTGGTAGTTTCACCGCTTGAATGGCTATTTCTAAGATTCCTCAGACGGGTGATGTGGTACGGCAGCTTTGGTTGATTTGGTAGGATCAATATACACACTGGCCCGGAGTGGCGACGTAGTCGTAGCGTCTCTGTTAAGTGCTGGAGTCATATCACACTTAATTTTGCATGTGTCATGTTCACGAGTGCGGCGTTTTGATCGTGGCTCCGTCAATCAGCAGCGCTCTATTCTGCGCCCATAGTGCTGTGCGGTCCTCACACTCGCACGCCTCACGCCACAGCGAAAACTAGCCCTATGGTCGTGTAATCTTACACATACGCCCCTCAAAGTCTTGCTCTTCAGGCCACAGTGGGAGCCCGCCGTGCTCCAGTCGCGTGTCGTTGCACGCACACACGCAGTCCTCAAACTTACACCCTCCGCGCCACAGCGGAAGCGTTATGGTTTGGTCATGTGGTGTGTCATCTAAATTGGCCCCGTCAACGACTGGAGAGCTCTGCCGATCCCCCCCCCCCCCCCCCCTGGTCGGTCAGCAGTCACCCTCCCTCGGGGCCAGACCGCCGTCGGCCGCTGACCGGCTTCGGACGTGACTGCAGAGCCATGCTGACGATGGCTGGCTCGCCTGGCCGGTCCCTGTAACGCACCCTACGCCGCCTCTCTCCCCAGGTGATGTTCCTGCTGAGTCGGACCAATACGGACTGGTGGAACGTGCGCAAGGCCAACGGACAGGACGGCTTCGTGCCGGCCAACTATGTCAAGGAAGTCGAGCCCAAGCTGGTCACCATGAAGGTGAAGAAGGCTGAGGTGGTACGTGATGTCAAGAAGGTCAAGAAGACCAAGATGGTGCGGCAGACGGTGCCGGTGAAGCGCACCAGGCCGGCAGGTGAGCGCGCCGGCCTCGGCCGTGGCGTTCGGCATGTCAGCGGCGGTAGAGTGGCGGCATTGTGGCGTCAGTGTCGCAAAACGGAGCACGGTCGTGTGTCACTGCTTAATGTGCTACTTTGAACACGCTGCGCTTAAGTCACGCAACGAACACGTCCTACGCGGCGCGGTCAGTGCACTGTGCCGGTGATGTTGGTGATATCACGCAGGTTCACAGGATCAGTCGCACATGGGCCTGAACCTGGCCATGAGGTGGTGCATCGACCGCCCCCCCCCCCCCTCACACCCCGCCCCGGGCGTCGCCAGAGCCGCGCGATGACCAGCTCATCTCGCGCCGCGTGTCGACCATCGAGTCGTCGTACGCCGAGCTGGGCCGGCTGGCCGACCAGCGCCAGACGCTGCTGCAGGACGCCATCCGACTCTTCCAGTTCAACCGCGAGTGCAACGACTTCGAGGTCTGGATGCGCGACAAGGAGAAGTTCCTCAAAACGGACGAGCCCGCGCAGACAGTGGAGGCGGCGAAGCACGCCTTCGAGGTCAGTGGTGGGCATAGGGTGGGGGAGGGGAGGGGGGGGGGGGGGACTGGGGGCCCGGGAACCCAGGCCCCGAGGGCAGCCGGCGCCTGGTGACGCCTGGTGTATGGGGCGCGGCGTGAGTCTGTACATTCCGCCAAGGCGTGTTGTTCTCTGTCTTCGTTTTTGGTAAGGTTTGGTTGCTTTTGGGTGGTGTCAACATTATCATCTATGCCCATTAATATGTGGCTTTCATGTGACATCAACTTTCATGAGTTGATAATCGCAGAAGTAATGGGGAGAGTCGAGCACAGAGGCGATAAGTCAGCGATAAAGGCGGCAGCTTGTGTGCGCTGGCGGACGCTCTACTCCGGAGATCTCGCTGCCAACCTCGCGTATTCAGGACAGGCGTGGCGTGAAGATACCTCACGGGCCGCTGTGCTGCGCGTGTGTCCGCTCCCCGCGTCTATAGTGGTAAGCCTTCTGAAGGCTCAGTGCTGCTCTTTTGTGTCTTCCGCGGCAGCGTCATCGACTCACCCAATGGAAGCTGACCTGCTACACGGTCTGATGACGCAAACGCTGTTGGAACTTCGCATTCGATCTCAGGCATTTGTGTGCGTCTTTTACTTGTGACATTGTATGCTTTAGCGCACCATGTCTTGGTTGTCCGGTTGGACGATGAATGAGCGGCGATGATGGTGATGATGTCAACGACATCCCGGCTGTTTTCAGAAATTCCTAACCGATATGGTGGCAGCTTCGAAGCGCATTGACACCATCGACGAGATGGTCGCAGAGTTTGTCAAGGAGAAGAACACCCAGATCGACAAGGTGAGCCCGAGTGAGCAGTTACGGGTGACGCGTGCTCGTGCGCTCTCTACTGCTGAAAAGAAGGCTGCGTCTTATGTCTTGAGTCTAAAGTAACGACAGATTGCATGGTTTTCTCCAGCTATGATAGTTGAATCTCAGTCGCTGACTGGGGCCGGTCTGACCCTGTCTAGGTGAAGCAGCGGCAGCGGCAGATCCACAGTCTCTGGGACCACCTGAACCGGCTGAAGCAGCAGAAGGAGCGCAGTCTAGAGGGTGCTTCCAGGTAGGCGACTCTCCGGGGACCTTCGGTGTCGTGATGAGTCGGGAGGGGCGGAATCGAAACCCGACCAACCAATTATGAGGGGGAGGGGCTTCGGGGAGGTGTCCGTTGTCGTGCGTACGGATGGTATATTGTTTGGGCTTTTGCGCACAATAACCTGGCTGTGCACTCTCAGGACCCGCGTGCATGCCCATACTGTCGCAGTGTCGCACTTCATTGGCATGTGTCTACACCACGCACGCTCCGTACTGGCCCAGACGACGTCAAAAGCTTGTTGGCGAGCTCGGCAGCTCACCATTGCGATCGCGCTGGGGAAGAAGAAGAAGAGCTGCTTTCCCGTTGGTCCTGCGTCAAGTTGCGCTCGGCCGGCGCCCTGACCAGCTCATGCGCCGCCGCCAGTGTGGAGCTGTTCGGCCGCACGTGCGAGGAGGCCTCCGATTGGATGATGGAGAAGATGGACAAGATGGAGACGGAGTCGCTGGGCGCCGACCTCAAGACGATCCAGGCGCTGCAGCGTCGCCATGACAACCTGGAGCGCGAGCTGGCGCCCATCGAGGAGAAGGTCAAACGGGTGGCCGCGCTCGCCAGCTCGTGAGTAGAGCCAGCCGGCCGACCGCGCCGCGCTCCGCCGACTGTGGGGCGATGGTCCTCCTTCCGGCTGTCTGTCACAGATGGCTGCCCCCAGCAACCCGGCTCATGGACCGCCTTCTGGCTTATGTGGCCAGAAGGCGGTCCATGAGGAATTTTAATCCACGGGGTGAATTTAGTTAGTGTAGTTAATGGTATCTCATGACTTCAACGAAAATGTTGAGGAATGCAATATTAAGTGAAATATTGGTGACAAAATCTGTGTCACCGTCTCTACTCATGGCCTGGTGTATCCTGATGGTGGTCGCAGCGTGTTGTGGTGGGGACCGGTTTTGGAAAGGGTGACATTGATAAGTTCCAGACGCACTATGTTGTTCCCATTGGTTGGACAGGCTTGCCGATCGCTGGATGATTTAAAGAGCGGCACGTTCACACACGCCGAACAGCTGGTTTCACACCTATGGGCGCATCATCCTTGGTTTGCGCACAGTTCCGCGCGATAGTCCGCTTGCAGCTTTTGTCGGAACAATATTTCGTTTCGACCGCCGTGCGTATTTATATCATGTCGCTGCAAGTTTCGGTCGCCGAGCTCTAGGCCTGTTCTCGACGCGTGTGCCTCAGCTTGATACGGGTAAAAAATTGACGTTTTTTCTAGTTGACTGGGGTGATCAAAAAGTGGTAATATGGCAACGCCTAGCGATACGCTGCCTGATCAGACAGCCAGCTCTGACTTAGACTGAAGATATTACAGCGCATCTTCTCTATAAGTAGGTTGCCTCTTACTGAATAGTTAGTGGTGTTTACACGATGGCAGAGGTATCTAGCCCGTGGAGAGCGTGCCGTGCCGGGTCTTATCTGGTCGCTGAAGAGCTACGCTCTCCGGTTAGGTAGCTGAAGACTCGCTTGCCCCGTGGCTTTGCCCGCAATAACTCATTTTACTTTTCATCAACTTTTAATGAATTGTTTACACTTGGTGCGTCATAGCGAAGAGTTTTAAATTTGTGAGGCCTCCTTAACGCATGAATTCGAAAAGCCAGCAGATAACATATACAAATCGAAAAGCCGGCAGTTGCTATTTTCACTAAGGGATACTGCACGAAACCTTGATATGACGAGCAGGGGTCGTGAGTAGCGTGAGTCCGTCCTGGACGGTGATGCGATATTGCCGTCTTCGTCACGCCGGCCCTGGCGTCCCGCGGGCCGTCACTGTCTTCCGTCCGACCAGTGACGCCGGTAGCGATCGGCCCTGTGGCAGCCAATGGTGCCTGGCTTGGAACCGGTCCCGACCGCGGCACACTGGGGCGGTCACTGTGTGATATTGTAACAAAGGTTAAGCTGCTCATGCAGGATGTTACCAAAACTTTAGAAGAATGTAACATTTTGCAACGTAACGTGGAAGTGTCTAACATCCGATGCTCGCTGCAATAATGTATTAGCCGATACCTTGAAGCAGAGTTGCATAGTGTAACGGTGTGCTCGTCTCGTGCTGCGCAGAGTGAAGGCCTCCTACCCGCACGAGCTGGCCAACGTGACGACGCGCCAGAAGGAGGTGAACTCGCTGTGGGACAAGGTGCGGGAGAAGGCGACGCAGCGGCGCTTGCGGCTCGAGGACGCCGTCGGCACGCAGATCTTCATCAACCAGGCGCAGAATCTGGTCAGTGATGGTCCGCCACCCGGGCGCTGGTCGGCTCTTCAACTGGCAATGGGATATGTGATGCGATAATTGTATATATTTACGATATCAAACGCGTGGAGACTCGCTCGGAAGAGTGTGATCTTGTGGCCAATGATCAGGTGATTCGTCAGTGTTATTTCAGCCAGTTGGATTTCAACGCCAGGACACTCAGATCATACCCACAAATGGGCGTCACAACCCTGGCCATTTGTTAACCGTGTTGGACCTTGATTTGCGTCCGCCACGCGTGGCCGGGCGGTGCGCATGCGCGTGCCGCTTTGGCCGTCGGCTAACGTCTCCCTCTTCCCCTCCCTCTCTCCAGCTGTCGTGGGTGGACGAGGTGAAGGCGACACTGAACGCCAGCGGTCCGGCCACCGACGTCCACACGGCCGAGGCGCTGCTCAAGGCGCACCAGGACCTGGGCGACGACGTGCGCGCCCACCAGGACGAGTACGTCGGCTCGCGACGCGGCCGCCCGCTGAGCGGCGCCAGAGGAGGCCCCGGGCCGACACGAGGGGACGGAGGCGGGCCCGCTCCCGAACACCACTGAACCTGGGCCACGTCTTCGATTACAGAATGCATAGATACATAAAGATAGTGCAGATAAAGGCGCCTCAGTTTGATGGGTTGGATGTTGTCAACATCAATACATGATCACGTTTAAAGTACATACGAGAAAAGCAATTACAATTGTCCACACAGCACAATCAAAAGATAACACGTGGAAATACGCACGTCGAATCAACTAGACCCCCGCTCGATGAGCGGAGCGCACCGAGTCGAGAGAGGAGCGAGAGTGTTCAGTGGCAGCACTTTGGACTGCCACGTAATGACACAAATGAGTACTGAAATACCGTCTTGCTGTTTGTCACCGGTGAGCCGCTGCCAGACTGTCTGTTGGGGTGCGTGGCGGCTCGATCTGTATACGTGGTGCCAGGCGGGTGTCTCAGTGTCGTGCTGCCGCCGCAGGTTCGCCGAGCTTACCGAGCTCGGCACCAAGCTGCTGAAGAAGAGCGGCGGCGACACCAAGCAGGTCAAGGAGCTGGCGGTGCGGCTGCAGGAGGAGCAGCGAGCCATCCACAGGTGACTGAGTGCTGCCGTGCGCGCGCCGCCCGGCTGCGGCCGACGTGTTCGGGCTCGCTTGGTGGGCTGTCGTCAGCCGGGCGTGTGCCGGCGCTGCAGAGTGGGACCTCACCCACTGATCGGTCGGAGCAACCAGCTGGCTGGGACGTCAGCTGAAGCGTTACCCTCGTGCGAGGCGACAGTCCGTGGCTGCAGGCTTTCCCGGCTCTCTGTGTCGGCGTTGGTTTTGCCTTCCAGCGCCGGCGTGGCGTTGGTGCGCTGCTCTGCCCCCCTGCCGCGGAACTCAGTCTATGGTAGCAGACTCAGTTGTCTCTCGGTGCCGGTGTTGGTTTTGCCGTGCAGCGCTGGCGTGGCGTTGGTGAGCTGCTCTGCTCCCCTGCCGCGGAGCTCAGTCGCCGCTCTCTCGCAACCGTCAGGGGCTGGCAGGAGAAGGACGCCTGGCTGCACCAGCTGCGCGACCTGCAGGTCTTCAACCGCGAGGCTGACCAAATGGATGCCATCACCAGCGGACACCAGAAGTTCATGGAGCTCACAGACCTCGGTGTGAGTACGCGCCGGTCGGGCCCCCAGTACATCCGTGTCGGCGCCGATGCTGGTTCTCCTGCCGCCAGTACGGCTGTATATGGTATGCTGGCTCAAAGCCCGTCAGTGTGGCTGTGTGTGGAGCCGACGCACGGCCGCCGTGTTTTGGCGGCGTCCTGGATCTGCTCTGATTCTGTCGTCGACGCCTTCTAGGACTCGTTGGACGCCGTGGAGGGCCTCATCAAGCGTCATGACGATTTTGAGAATACGCTGGCGGCCCAGGACGAGCGGCTGAGAGCGTTCAGCGACACCGCCGACCGGCTGGTGGCCGCCAGACACTACGACAGCAACAGGTGCGTCCGGCGCCGGACCGTGACGGTCAAAGGATGACTGTCGGCCGGACCGTGACGGTCAGAGGATGACTGTCGGCCGGACCGTGACGGTCAGGGAACGGCTGCCTGCCGGACCGTGGCCGGAATGACCAGAATTCATTGTGTTTTGGTGTATTTGGCCCGCGTCATGGTGCTGACCCGTGCCGTGTCATACCCAGCTCTAGTCTGCGACCAGGCGCTGGTCTGTCAGTCACTCGGATGGTGTATGCCATTCGAATTATTTACTCAGTAAATGTGCACGGCTCTGTGCTCTAGTGACTCCGGTATATATTCCTGTGAGTAGCCGGCCGGTGCCATTGCTCCCTCCCCCCGCGCCGGCGTCATGTGCCAGCGGACTGGCTGGGCACCGGTCACGTCACTGGCGGTGACGCTGTGTGGTCGGCGGGCAGCATCTCCGAACGGCGGGACCAGGTGCTGGCGCGCCGGCAGCAGACGCGGCAGCGGGCCACCGAGCGGCATCAGCAGCTGCTGGCCGCCCAGGCCTTCTACGAGTTCCTGGCCGACTGCGACGAGCTGCGAGGCTGGATCGGCGACAAGGCCCGCTCCGCCGCCGACGACAACTACCGCGACCTCAGCAACCTCGAGCGCAAGCTGCAGCGCCACGAGGCGTTCGAGCGCGAGCTGCGCGCCAACGAGGGCCGCCTGAGGAAGCTCAACAAGGTGCGCGGCTGGCGACGGGGCTGTGGCCGCCGCTCGGGCCAGGCGGTGGATATATCCGCTGCTCGGGCCAGGCGGTGGATATATTTGCCGCTCGGGCCAGGCGGTGGATATATCTGCTACTGGGGCCGGGCGGTGGATATATCCGCTGCTCGGGCCAGGCGATGGATATATCTGCTACTGGGGCCGGGCGGTGAATATATCTGCTGCTCGGGCCAGACGGTGGATACATCCGCTGTTCAGGCGGGGCGGTGGTTGGGTCCACTGGTCAGAACAGGCACCTGCACGGCGTCTGTGGGTATCTGATTTGGGATGATGGAATTGTCCAACCACAATGGCCGACTGGCATACTGAGCTTGACCGGCCGCCGTACCGTGTCGCCGTGCCCGTTGTCTGCGACCGCCTGCGCTGAGTAGGACACGTGTCCGCGCTTCACTTGGTTCGATGGGCCGCTCGCTGCGTTCTGACCGTAGACTGAGAGATGAGCCCGCTCTCCGGACCTGATGTCAGTCCCGAGGCGTGTGCTGTGTGCCTGGCACGGCTGCCCGGCACTGCGATCCAGAGCGGGACTGAGTCGTGCCGCGGCCGCAGGTGGGCCAGGAGCTAGTCTCGCACGACCACTACCAGACGCCGGCGATCCAGAGCACGCTGACGGGCCTGAACGCCGACTGGGAAGAGCTGTGCCGGCTGACGGCCGAGCGCGGCGCCAACCTGCGCCAGGCGGCCGCCCTGCACGGCTACAACCGCACGCTGGACGGCGCGCGCGCCAAACTCGACGAACTGAGCAAGGCGCTGCAGTCGCAGGACCTGGGCACCGACCTGCGCAGCTGCAAACAACAGCTGAAGAAGCACCAGGTTAGTGGGCCGCTGCCGGCACCTGTAGCTCTCAGCCGCGCTCCGGTAAAGGCCTGTGGACGGGATAGTAGTGAGGAGGGCATCCGTAGAGCGGATGACGTAGAGGTAGCACGGGCAAGAACAGCCGGATTGTGGAGTGTCGGCGGGTTCATGTGTAGGCCCGCTACGCTCAGAGCTCTCAGCGAGCCCTCGTCCGACCGGCTGACGAACAGGTGTGGCGCACCCCGTGACAGCTGCCGCTGCTATTTGGCCAGAATTCAGCATAACTGCAGAACAGCAGCTTACCACCCCACCGGACAGATATGAGATCCCGCTGAACATGTTAATCTGATGTACCCGATGCCAGCCGTGCTCATGATCGTCTGCAAACGATCGACGGCGCGTGTAGCTGGTGCGCGCCGCTGTGGCGACGGGCCTGGATGCGGCCTTCGCCCAGACCCGGAGGCCATGGGACGCGCCTGGCGGCCGTGGGCGCTGACCACGTTCCGCTGCAGGCGCTGGAGCTGGAGATCGGACTGTTCGAGTCGAAGATCGCTGAGCTCGTCAGCTGCGGCCAGGAGATGGCGCAGGAGGGACACTTCGACGCAGAGAACATCGTGGCCCAGTGCAACGCGTCCAAGGACAGGTGAGCGATCCTTTCGCACGGTGTTGTGGAGGGGAGGGACGGGCTGATGCAGGTAAGCCTGCAGTCCTTCCGCGCCCACACAGCTAAGAACACTGGTTCTTAAGCATGCGTACGTTGTCTGCCGCGCGTGTTATGTGAGCTCGGAGCGCACAGGTCCGACCGCCATGAGGAGAAGCGCCCAGCTGACGCTGCTCTGACACCGCTCTGGCTGCTCTGGCGCCGCTCTGACCGCTCTGTCGGGTCTAACGCCGCTCTGATTGCTCTAACGCCGCTCTGATCGTTCTGACGCCCCTCTGGCCGCCCTGACGTCGCTCTGACTGCTCTGACTCCACTCTGACCCCTCTGACGCCGCTCTGATCGCTCTGACGCCGCTCTGACCGCTTTGACAGCTCTGATGCCGCTCTGATCGTTCTGACGCCGCTCTGACCGCTCTGACGCCGCTCTGACCGCTCTGACGTCGCTCTGACTGATCTGACTCCACTCTAACCCTTCTGACGCCGCTCTGACCACTCTGACGCCGCTCTGGTTGCTCTGACAGCTCTGACACCACTCTGATCGCTCTGACGTCGCTCTGACGCCAATCTGACCGCGGCAGGTTCGCCGAGCTGAAGGGGCCGATGGCGGCCCGGCGGCGGGCGCTGGAGGAGGCGCTGCGCTACCACGAGTTTGCCGCCAGCCTGGACGCCGAACTCCAGTGGATCGCCGAACACCAGCCGGCCGCCAGCTCCGAGGGTAGGACGGCGCGCGCACACGCCGGGCATGGCAGCCGGCCGTCGCACGCCCGTCTGGTGGGGCTGTGAACACCGTCAGATTGGGTGTCAGACGACTGTGCAGTATGTCGAGCTCGTGACATGTGTAAACTCTATCGTGGATGCTGTGGGAACACTCAGCTGAATGGTCTTAAATAGGGCGGTGAAGCTGTCAACTAAACAGGCGGCGACGAACGGTGTACATGAACTGGCATTGCGGCTCACATTCCTTTCGTCGGTCATCGCATGCTTTACCGACATCTGGCTTGTTCGGTCTGGTGCTGATACGGTCTCGTCGTCGCCGTGTGGCGCGCGTGGCCGGCTGTGGGTGTGTCGTGGGTGGCGCGGGGCGTCGCCGGCCGTGACGGTCGACTGGGGCCGGCAGCGCTGGGGCTGACGCTGCACGAGGCCCAGAGTCTCTCCAAGAAGCACGCCAAGCTGGAGGCCGAGCTGCGCGGACACCGGCCCGTCATCGAGAAGGCCGTGCAGACGGGGGCCGCCCTGGCCGCCGAGAAGCGGCCCAACGCTGACGAGGTGCGTTTGCCTCGGCGCGGCCAGTCGGCAGTATGGGTTGTCTCAGATACGGAAGGGATGGAGGAAAGGGAGTGACCGTGGGAAACGGACAGGGGTTTTCATATGGTCGTTACGAAGCAGGTGTCCATCATCCGTGCTTACTTTTTTGCATGACTTGTTCGTACTCCTATTTCTGTGTGCGTTTTTCTGATCGTATTAGTTCAACGGAGCTGCTGAAATGCTGAAATGATTTAAGCACAGGTAGGCAACATGAGATGTCTATCTGTACATTACGGAGTGGTGGCGCGAGCCGCAGACGGCCTGGGCTCATACGCTGACCTGCCCGTCTCTGTGCAGATCCTGGAACGGTGTCGGGAGCTGCAGACGGCCTGGGATAACCTGAGGTCGTCTGCTGACCGGCGCGCCAGCCGGCTGGAGCTAAATCTGGCGGCACAGCAGTTCTTCGCCGAGGCGGACGAGGTGGAGAGCTGGATGGCGGAGAAAACGAACGTGTTAACCGGAGCCGACTTCGGCAAGGACGAGGACGCTGCCGTCAAGCTGCTCACCAAGCACAAGGTTCGGGAACGCACACCGTTAGCGCTGGTCCGGCCTCCCAGGGACACCCATCTGTCGAGTGGAGGGAACACTGTGACTGTTCCAACCATGCGGGGTGTGGTTGATGTACTGACAACGGGGCGCAGCATCGTCTTGGAGCGCAGAGCTCGGCCTGGCCAGAACTCGTGATGAGTCTGGCGCGCCGCCATTCAGGTGCGTTGTACCCGACACTGCCTGATGTCGCTCCGGGGTGGGAGTGTTCTCGAGCGCTGTCTGGCCAGTGTGTCTGCTGTGCTGTCCGTTCGTTATGCTGTAGCGTCCTGGTCGCCTGCCGCTCTGACGTGTCGTGGGCGGGCCGGCAGGCTCTGGAGCTGGAGCTGGACTCGTACGCCGGCCTCGTCAAAGAGATGAGCTCGGTGGCCGACACCATGGTCAAGTCCAGTCACCCGGACGCCAAGATGATCCAGCAGCGCCAGCACCTCATCAACCAGCAGCTGAAGGTGAGTCGTTGACGACGGCTGCCGCCCGCCAGACCGGGCGGTTGCACGGCTTGGCGGCCCCGCCACGTCACAGCTGGTCGCAGAACGGCGCTGGCCGGACTGAGCGAATGACATGGGCAGGCTGTCCGTGCCGGTGATACGTGCAAACTTGTGCCCTCGACGGGGACCGCCTCCGGCCAGTTGTGTGCTCTGCCGTGGTGCATGTCGTCCCACCCGCGCACTGTCTGTGGCGCGTGTCGTCCCACCCGCGCCCCGTCCGTAGAGCGTGCCGTCGCGCCCGCGCCCCGTCCGTGGAGCGTGCCGTCCCACCCGCGCCCTGACTGTGGATTGTGCCGTCCCACCCGCGCCCCGACTGTGGATCGTGCCGTCCCACCTGCGCCCCCTCCGTAGAGCGTGCCGTCGCGCCCGCGCCCCATCCGTGGAGCGTGCCGTCCCACCCGCGCCCTGACTGTGGATTGTGCCGTCCCACCCGCGCCCCGACTGTGGATCGTGCCGTCCCACCTGCGCCCCCTCCGTAGAGCGTGCCGTCGCGCCCGCGCCCCGTCCATGGCGCGCGGTATTCCGCCCGCGCCCCGAATGTGGATCGTGCCGTTCCGCCCATGCCTCGTCCGTGGGGAGTGCCGTCCCATCCGTGGAGCGTATCGTCCCGTCCCCTCCCCTCCCCCCCCCCTCCCCGCCGCTCCCAGTCCGTGTCACGCGCGGGACATGACGGGTGTCGGTGTCGGCGGTCAGGACACGCAGCGGCTGGCCACCCAGCGCCGCCAGCGGCTCGTCGACAGCAAACACCGGCACGAGTACTTCCGGGAGAGCGACGACCTGGAGCGCTGGATCGCCGACCAGCTGCAGGCGGCTGCCAGCGACGACTACGGCCAGGACTACGAACACCTGCTGGTAAGCTGGACGCGGCGCGCGCCGTGTGCCAGCCGACCCGGACGGCGCGGGCACTCATGGCTCTGTTGGTCTAAGCATGCGCTAGGATATTAATTCGGAGTTAGTTTGTATTATGTCAGAATCTTAAAAATTTGGACTATCATTCCACTGGAAATTCTGCATACAAGGATTGAGAATGCCTTGAATCTGCCTATATTACTTTAGGTTCTCATGTTTGATAGTCCAGTTCGTAGTATTGTATTTTATAGCATATTTCATAGCATCGTCTGCCATGTTTTTTTTTTGCAATGTGTTGTAACGAATGAGGGATTAATGTAACGACCCGAAACTAGCGGACGTTTTAACGAGCCGAAATCTGAAAAGCTAACTCGTGGATGGCTGTCAAGCAAGCAGAATACAAATACAAATCAAAGGAAGGCCATTCGACTTACAGCTCACGACCGTATGTTCAGCTCGGAGCGCGTGGATGTCAGGCTGCTGTAAGGTCAGTTTGCAGCCGTTACGACACAACATTAAACGCGACCAAGTGTGAGGCACGACGCGCTGGGCGGTGGTGGGATGGCGTTCTGGGGGTGTGTGGCGCCTAGCTGGAGATGCCCCGACGACCCCCGTGTTCGGTTGCCGTCCTAGATCCTGCGCAACAAGTTTGAGGATCTGAAGCACCGCGTGGAGGCGGGCTCAGAGCGCTTCAATCAGTGTGACGAGCTGGCCAGGAAGCTGATCGCCAGCGAGAACCCGTACGCAGCGGACATGGACCGGCGCCAGGACCAGCTGAGGTGAGCCGACCGCGCCGCCGGGCAGGGGGACGAGACCGGCGCCGCCGGGGAGGGGACGAGACCGGTGTCGCCGGGGAGGAAACGAGACCGGCGTCACCGCCAGGGAGGGGACGAGACCGGCGCCATCGCGGAGGGGACGAGACCAGCGTGGTCAGGGAAGGGACGGGACCGGTGTCGGCAGGGAGGGGACGAGACTGGTGTCGCTGGGGAGGGGATGAGACCGGTGCCATCGGGGAGGGGACGAGAGCGGCGTCGCCAGAGAGGAGACGGAGTTGCCGCCCCCCCCCCCCTCACCCCCACCCGTCCGGTCAGGTGTGGGTCTCAGCGGGTCTTCCGTCGGCCGAACGTTCGACGGTAGCGCTGATTTAGACATTTCTACAGATTTGGTTTGGTTTATATTCATTCATGTTGGAGCTTCCCCGGCTCGCAGCGGACTGTTGCATTTGTGTTGTTCGTAGGACCTTTGTTAACGGTCGTCCGGTCGGCGCTCTGGGTACTTTCGTCGAACGCCGTGCCGTTGTCGCGCATGTTTTCCGGGATCTCCTTCATTATGCTCTTGTTCGCATCCACTTAGACGCGGCGACTGTTCCGGTTGGCTTGCTGGTGGGATGACCGGGCTCATCCGATAACGACGGATTAATATCCACTTCTGTCTAACGATGACCCTGTTGCGCCTGACGGCCTTCTCCCACTCTGTCTGCTCTCTAACCCGGCACGCGACGGCGGGCGCGCGCTAGCGCCGCCCGGCCGCGCGTGCCGCCGGTGGCGGTGTGTGCGCGTATGTGTTCGCGCGGGCCTACGCCCCCTCTGGCGCCCGGCCGGCCAGAGGTGATCCCATGCGCTGCTCTGTCCCGCCGCGTACAGGCCCGGCCAGAGCCAGGACGCCACAGATGTGGCCAAACGTCACGCGGTGATCAGGTGAGCCGCTTGTGCCGCCACCGCCGCCGCCGCCGCTGCATGGGCTGACTCCGCCTGCTGCCTGTCCGCCAGGGCGCTGGTCTGCTGTATGACATGACGGGGGCGGTTTGTTTGTGTGTATGGGAGCATGGGCTGTCCCGGCCGTCCCGGAGCTCCGCTGTCCAACGAGTGCATGCGCTCGCGCTTCCGCTTGATGTGTGCGCGTTTGTGGCTGACGTCACGTGTCTGGTGCCGGCTCTGAGGCGGGCGGTCAGGACACAGCGCCGCGCACTAGAGACGAGCGCTGCCTGTGGGCACGGACGACGGGCACGCGGCGTGCAGGCGGCAGCGATGCCGCAACTAGAACACAAACACCGTCTCGGAAGCCGGAGCACAAACCCACCGTAGTGAGCGGCAGCACGCCGGCAGAGCAGTCCGGTGTCGAGTGCGGTGGGGGTCCGGCGCCGAACTCTGCTGTACAGAGCTGCGGGCCGACCCCCGGCGACATGTGGCGGTCCTGCCGGCCCTCAGCACGCCCCACCCGTCACCGCTGTCCACGTGCCGTCGCAGGGGGCTTGCAGGCGGCGCGGAGAGCTGCACGGGACGTCACCGGCGCCGCCTGTTCTGTGGGTTGAACGCATGGCGTGTCCGTGATGTCGTGCTGACCGGGCCTAGCAGCTCGGTGCGGTGTTGCCTGACGCTTGTATAGAGCAGTGCACACGGTGCGGTCACAACACGCTGTAGTCTGAGCGGGGGCAGGGGGCTTAGGGAGGTAGCGGCCGTCGCCCCGGCCAGCAAGAAAACGGTCTGCTGGGGAGAACGCGTCAAATGACATGGAAGCGGGATGCTCTGGACTCTGTCGCAAAGAGGGCGGGAAGGAAGGTTAATGTGAGCGGCGGGCGGGAAGGAAGGTTAGTGTGAGCGGCGGGCGGGAAGGAAGGTTAATGTGAGCGGCGGGCGGCAAGGAAGGTTAATGTGAGCGGCGGGCGGGAAGGAAGGTTAATGTGAGCGGCGGGCGGCAAGGAAGGTGAATGTAAGGGTGAATTCCGATCTCCGTTGACTGAGCCAGCTGGAGCAGAAAGTGAAGCTGCCTGCCGATACCGTGTGGTCAGACCCTCGTCAGGGGCGAGCGCTGTGAGCTGCTGTCCATGTCTGTAACACGTGCTGTATGGTGACGCCAGAGGCCAGTGGGTGCAGCTGCTGGAGGTGCTGGACGCCCGAGATGAGAAGCTGACGGCGGCCGGCGAGCTGCACAGGTTCAACCGGGACGTGGCCGAGTCGCTGCAGCGGATACAGGTCAGCGCTCCGCGCCGCGCCGGCGCCGCCCGCACCCCGCGGCGGCGCGCCGCGTGGTGTGGACGGTATGGCGCGCTCTCCCTGTGCGATGCACACGCACGCGGTGTCGCTTCGGATGTGCACGTCTGATTTGGACCGTATGACGTTCGAAAGGCGGCAGTCAGGTCAGGCGGTGCCTGCAGGGTGCTATTTGACCCCGGCCCGGGGCGCTGTTTGGCTCCGACTCAAGACGCTTTCTGACCTCGACCCAGTGCGTTGCCTGTCCTCGACCCAGTGGGCCGTCTGAGCCAGCGGTCGGACTGAGCGTGCTCCGCTGACAGGAAGTGACGCCTTTGCAGGAGAAGTACGCCCAGATTCCGGACGACCTGGGCCGCAGCCTGCAGGCGGTGCACGCGCTCATCCGGCGGCACGAGGGCTTCGAGAACGACCTGGTGGCGCTCGAGGCTCAGCTGCAGGTACGGCGCCGGCGGCCTTCAGTGTGGCCCGGCGCGCCGACCGGGGTCGTTCGCCGATCTCGCGGTCCGGTCGCGCTCGTGTCAGCATCGTGGCTGAGTTACTGCGGCGTCCCGGAGCCGTCCCCGTCCGAGGGTCGACCCTCGCCCAGCGACAGTGCGGCATTCCGCCGGTCTGGCCCCGGCTCCTGCCCTGCCGTGACCCCGTGTGTCGCCGGCCGGTGTGGTGACCGGGCCCGGTCTGACCTCGGCTCCTGCCCTGCCGTGACCCCTTGTGTCGCCGGCCGGTGTGGTGACCGGGCCCGGTCTGACCTTGGCTCCTGCCCTGCCGTGACCCCGTGAGTCGCCGGCCGGTGTGGTGAGCGGGCCTGGTCTGACCTCGGCTCCTGCCCTGCCGTGACCCCGTGTGTCGCTGGCCGGTGTGGTGACCGGGCCCGGTCTCACCTTGGCTCCACCCCGCCGTAACCCCGTGAGTCGCTGGCCGGTGTGGTGACCGGGCCCGGTCTCACCTTGGCTCCACCCCGCCGTAACCCCGTGAGTCGCCGGCCGGTGTGGTGAGCGGGCCTGGTCTCACCTTGGCTCCACCCCGCCGTAACCCCGTGAGTCGCTGGCCGGTGTGATGAGCGGGCCCGGTCTCACCTTGGCTCTGCCTCGCCGTAACCCAGGTGCTGGTGGACGACTCGGCCCAGCTGCAGGAATCGTACCCGACCAACGCCGAGCACATCGCCGAGCAGCAGCAGCTGGTCGTCGGCAGCTGGGACCAGCTGCATCAGCGCGCCGCTCAGCGCAAGGAGGAGCTGCAGGCCAGCCTCGAGCTGCAGCGTTTCCTCACACAGGTGGGCGCCGGCTAGTTGGCGCCGCCTCAGACGCCGGCCGCTGGCAGGACGCTGCTGAAGCGATCTTGGTTAGGCTGGCCTGCGATCGAATTTGTACTGGTGCGAGAGGGGAATGCCATCTGGTTGGATTGCTGGAGACTGGAGGAGGTTTGACGTAGCATTTGTCTTGGAGCAGCCTTAAAATCAATAATAAGATGTTGTGTGATTTTGTTCTGCACGAAGCTGCGCAAGATATCGTCAGACGTCACCAGCACCAGACCCCCGAGCAGCCGCCTGGTTGCTTTGTCAGATGAGTGACAGTATGGGCCCACCAGCCCGCCGCCCGGCTGCGGTGGTGGCTGTGCGCCCGGTGTGGCGCGCGCGCGTGAGGCGCCGCTGGCGCGTGACTAGCTGACGGCCGGCCGGCCCGCTCCAGAGCCGGGACCTGATGACGTGGGCGGCCGACCTGCGCGCCGGCATGCTGACCGAGGAGGCCGTGCGCGACGCGGCCAGCGCGCAGGCGCTCAAGACGGAGCACGACCGGCTCAAGGCCGAGGTGGAGGCGCGCGAGGAGAGCTTCACGGCGCTCGTGCAGATGGCCGAGACCATGATCCAGGACGGACACTACGCCTCCCAGGTCCGTCGGCCCGCCGCCTGCCCGCCGCAGCCGCTGTCAGCTCTGCTCACTCGGCTGCCGACTGAACGCACTCGTCTGAAAAAGGGCGGCTGTTATCAATATTGACAATCTTTGCGTGGCTGTTGATGTGTTGCGGCAGGTTTGTCACCAATTTTTTTTTACTGATAGTGGAGAGCTTTACTTGTCAACACAGCTGGAGTGGTATGATGCCATCTTCTGCGAACGATCCGGTTTCATTTTCGGTAGTGTGGTAGGAGAGCTTATAGTATCTTTCAGCGGCCGTGTGCTGGCAGTTCGGACTCTGACCGTCGGTTTTGTCCGGCAGGAGGTGCAGGAGAAGCTGGAGCAGGTGCTGGAGGAGCGGAAGAAGCTGCACAGCGCCTGGCAGCAGCGTAAGATCTACCTGGACCAACTGATCGACTACCACTTCTTCCTGCGAGACGCCAAACACCTTGACTCGGCCAGCAGTCAACAGGAGGTGTGTGAGGCGCCGCCTATCATTGACGGCCGGCGCTTCCGTCTGCCGAGCGGGTGTGGCGGCACTGTGCCTGGTGCCGGCCTGCCCAGCGGCTGTGGAGGCAACAGAGCGCCTTGTTAATTATCGACGTTGCCATGCGCAGTCCGGTCTGTTGATGAAGAATCATTAGAGGCACGGATTGTTTTGAGATGAGGATGATTTGCCGCCTTTCCGAGTTCGCATGGTCGAGGACGTTGGGTTACACGGTCGCCTTTTGAATGCGACACCGAGTGACTCGTCTGGTTTCCGAGCGAGGTGGGAGATGCACAGAGCGTCCAACACTAACTCGCGTTCAGGCAGGCATCCCAGCAGGAACGGGGATGATGTTAAAACGTTGGACACATTCCATGGGTCGAGCACAGCTGGCCGGTGCGTGCAGACTGTGTCTGGATGTGATGTGGGATCTGTAGCTAGCGTTCGGGGCCGGCCTTGGCGGCTGACGGTGCTCCGGTCAGCCGTTGCCTGTGCTCTGATCGGCCACTGCCGGTGCTCCGGTCGGCCGCTGGCCGTGCTCCGGTCGGCCGCTAGCTGGTGCTCCGGTCGGCCGCTGGCCGGTGTCCCGGTCAGCCGCTGCCCGGTGCTCCGGTCAGTCGCTGCCGGTGCTCCGGTCGGCCCGCTCTCCGTGCTCCGGAGTGCCGACCCCGGTCAGAGACCAGCCGTCCTCTCCCCGTGCCACAGGCGGCGCTGTCTAAGGCCGAGTTCGGCACGACCGTGGACTCGGTGGAGGCGGAGGTGCGCCGGCAGGAGGCGCTCGACCGGCTGGTGGGCGTGCAGAACGACCGCCTGTCTCAGCTGTCCGAGCACGGCAGCAAGCTGCTGCAGCAGAACCACTTCCGCAGCCCCGAGATCAAGCAACGGTGAGAGCGGCGGACGTGCGGCGGCGGCGCGGCTGCTGCAGCCGGGCCTGGCCGGCCGCCGGCTGGTGCTGAGTCCTGGTGCCGTCGGAAGGCCGGCGCCCTCCGCACGGCTCACCGCTCACAGCTCCTCGCTGGTTGTTTTCGCGAAAGTCTCAATCATTGCGATGTAGAGGGACATTCTTCAATCAATGGAGTGCATTTCTGACAATTACGCGAAGTCGACTCATTTTGCGTGAACATTGGACGAGGGATGGCCGTACAGGAGCACAAGTAACCCGAAGCCGCATATCACATGGCGTTGCTTCTGCGCAGCTTTCAGCATTGCCAAAGGCAAATGCCGTCGGTTCTTGGCCGTTAGACAACGTTGCGTATGTCTGAGACCTCGGCAGTGAGCCAGGAGTGCAGTGTAGCGAGGCTGGCGCGCGGCGGCGAGCTCGGCGCGTGCTGGTGCCCGCCGCCGCCGGTGGTGTCCGGTGACGTGACCGCGTGCCGTGTGCCGGCCGGCAGACTGGACGAGTGCGTGGTGCGGCGGCAGAAGGTCAGTGACCTGGCGTCGGAGCGACGGCGCGGCCTTAACGACTCCCTGCTGCACGCCCAGTTTCTGCGCGACTGCGCCGAGGTGAGAGACGGAGTCGGCGTCAGACCGCGGCCGTGGTGTGCCGGGGCGACTCTGATGAGAGACGGCCAGAAAATTCTGACCTTGCTTATTCAACTTAGCAAATGTCCCCAGGAGCTGAACCTCCCAACTCAAAGTGTCAGCTTGATCTGTTGAGCATGTCCGCAGTGTGCGTGCGCCCGCTTGAGGCGCCTGATATGGTGGGGCCCGCTGCGGTCTGCTGTCAGCCACGTTCGCCAGCAGTGTGTGGCGGGCTGGCCGTGCTCGGGGTTGGTCGGCGATGTCCACTGTTTGTGTGCGTGGACCCGGGCCTGCCAACCAGACGCCTGCTGTCCGCAGGCCGAGACTTGGATCGGCGACAAGAAGAAGGCGCTGGAGCTGGAGCGGGTCGGCAGCGACGTCACCAGCCTCGAGGAGAAGATCAAGAAGCTGCAGAAGCACCAGGCGTTCCAGGCCGAGCTGTCCGCCAACCAGCCGCGCATCGCCGAGATCAAGGACAAAGGTCAGCCGCTGGTAGTGCGTCACCGTCCGTAGAACAGGCGGCGGCGGTGAGGATGGAAGACGGGCGTGCGCGGCTGTCCCGACTGTGTGGCGGTGTCGACAGCCAGCGGTCAGGCACACGCCGTGGGCTGAGGGGACACCAGGCCGGGGCGAGCCACGGTCGCCTGCTTGCTCGCAAAATGTGCAATGATTACCTGCTGCCCAGTGCGCACTCCTGGACCTGCCCCGCTTCTGCCCGCCACGCTACCCCCTCCCCATGGCAGATCTCTGCGCTGCCCCCCCCCCCCTCGTGCGTGTCTAGCGCCACGCAGGCACCTACGTGCGCCTTCGGTGTAGCCGCACCCGAGCTATGGTTGATCTCCCTCGCGCGCTGACCGGGCGTGTCGCCCTCGGCGGCAGGCGAGACCCTGCTGCAGCAGCGGCACCTGAGCTCGCGGGAGATCCGCCAGCAGCTGGAGGCGCTGCTGGCCTCCTGGCAGCAGCTGCTGGCTGAGAGCGTCTCGCGCGGTCGCGGCCTGGAGGAGGCGCAGGACATCCTCGACTTCAACAACCAGGTCGAGAAGGTGGAGGCCTGGATCCGAGACAAGGTCAGTGGCGCCGTCTGGCGGCCGCAGCGCCGGTCGTCCGCACGGATCGGCGGGCTGTGGCATCGTGAGGCAGCAGGCCAGCGGCCGTCTTCATATTTTCTTGCCGGGCGTTGGAGAAGCGTCTTGTCTAGAAAAGGTTTCGTACCTGCTATGCTGTTCATTGGTGACCCGACTACAACGCTCTGTAGTCTGTCGATGACCGCCTGGGTGGTTGCTGCGGGTCGTTGGTGACCGGCTTGCCGCGCGCTCGTCCAGGACATGCTGGTGCAGGCGGCTGAGACCGGCCGCGACTACGAGCACTGCCAGGCGCTGCAGCGGCGCCTGGACGACGTCGACTCGGACATGCGCGTTGACGACGTGCGCATGAAGAACATGAACGCGCTGGCCGACAAGCTGATCCGCCAGGGGCAGGGCGACAACCGCGCCGTCCAGCAGAAACGGGACGAGCTTAATCAGAGGTGGGTCACCGACGACGGGTCGTCTACCGATGTATGACCAGGCCCTACCCGTATAAACACGCAGAATCCCCAGTTATGTCATGCAGCGCTGGCATTGCCTTCGGTGTTGCCGATGGTTGAGCCGGGTCCGCGGCGGCGGCGCCGTCTAGGTGAGATGTCCGTGAGGCTCTGACGCTTGCGGCCGCCGCCAGGTGGAGGTCGCTGCAGGGCGCGCTCTCCGCCTACCGGGATCAGCTGTCGGCGGCGCTCGAGGTGCACGCCTTCAACCGGGACCTGGCCGACACGGCCGAGCGTGTCCAGGAGAAGGCGCTCTCGCTCTCCTCCGAGGACACGGGCAACGACCTCGGCTCGGTGGAGTCGCTGCAGCGCAAGCAGGAGGCGGCCGAGCGGGACATGAGCGCCATCGAGGGCAAACTCAAGGTGAGAGGGCGGCTTGCGCCGACGACCGGTGGGCCACGGTCAGGTGGAGACGTGATCAGGGAACTGAACTAGTCTGAGGTGACCAGGCTGGTGAACCTCTCCGGCTCATGTCCACCGGAGACTGAGCACCGTGTGCACCGGCTGTCCGTGTACACACGCTGGCTGTGGTGTTACTGGCAGGTGGCTCTGATCACGCGGCTGGGCTGGGGACGACTGTCTGTGGTGTGGCCGCCAGGTGGCTCCGGCCACGCGGCTGGTCTGGGGACGGCAGAGTCGCCCGGGACGGCTGTCTGGGTGTGGCCGCCAGGTGGCCCCAGCCACACGGCTGGTCTGGGGTCGGCTGCTTTTGATGTAGCCGCCAGGTGGCTCCGGCCACACGGCTGGTCTGGGGACGGCAGAGTCGCCGGGGACAGCCCCCACTGACGGGGTGACGCGGCCGCCCGCAGGAGCACGACGTCGAGGCGCGCCGGCTGATGCAGAAGTACCCGGACCGGGCGGCGCCGATCCGCGCCCGCCTGCAGGTGGTGCAGGACAGCTGGCGCCGCCTGCAGGCCAGCTGCGACAACCGACGCACCCTGCTCGCCTCCTCCTACACGCTGCAGAAGTTCAACGCCGATCGGCGCGAGCTCGAGACGTGGGTCGGCGACATGATGAACCGCATGGCCGAGAGCGGCGACGGCGGCGGCGCTGAGCAGGCCGAGCAGCTGCTGCAGCTGCACCAGGTGCGTGCTCGGCCGGCGTGTGCCGCTGGAGTCAGGCTCGGGTGCGCGCTCACGGAGAGCGGCGGAGGCAGTAGAACCTGCATGCGTGCGGGCGCGTTTATTTGGATAAAATTGTAAGTGGGATAGGTGATTGAGACAAAACATAGGCTCTATTTCGCGTGTTTAAAGATGGCAGTCCGTACGGTGTCTCGCCTGGGTGAAGGCCTGATGTTTTCCCGTGTTCTCTCAGGAACGTAAGGCCGAAATGGACGGACGCCAGGAAGCCTTCAAACAGCTGAAGGACTTTGGCCACAAGCTGGTGCAGCAGCAGCACTACGCCCGTGACGAGGTGGAGTCGTCGCTGGCGCACCTGGAGGAGCTGCGGCGCACGCTCGGCGCCAGCTGGGAGGAGCGGCGCCACCGGCTGACGCAGGCGCACCAGCGCCAGCTGTTCGACCGGCAGGCGCAGCAGGCACACGCCTGGCTCGCCGCCAAGGAGGCGTTCCTCAACAACGACGACCTCGGGGTGCGTCGGCGCCGTAGTCGCCGCTGTGCCGACTGGTGCCGGGCGCCCTGACCGCCGGGGCCTCCCACACACCTGCGGGGTCTGACGGTTGGCTGGACATGAGCGGCCATGTGTGGAATAAGCCCACAGGGTATTGCTGTATTTGCCATCACCGTGAATGGGTATAAACCTCCATTTGTTACTGCACCCAAGCTAAATGTTAAATCATATCTCCAGCTGGTGGTGTGCAGTATGGGATGAAACATGATTTGCGCTGCTATGGTCGAGTCCCTGGCGTCCCTGGCCGTGGCTTCCAGCCAGGTGCCCGGCGGCGGTTTTCGCCGCTATGGTCAAGTCCCTGGCGTCCCTGGCCGTGGCTTCCAGCCAGGTGCCCGGCGGCGGTTTGCGCCGCTATGGTCGAGTCCCTGGCGTCCCTGGCCGTGGCTTTCAGCCAGGTGCCCGGCGGCGGTTTGCGCCGCTATGGTCGAGTCCCTGGCGTCCCTGGCCGTGGCTTTCAGCCAGGTGCCCGGTGGCGGTTTGCGCCGCGCTGGGCAGGTGCCTGGCGTCCCTGGCGGCGCTCTCTGTGCGTGTGTCGGTGCGGCCCGGCCTGCTTCGCCTCGGCCTGGCCTGTGACACGGGCCTTCCCGCCGGCCACAGGACTCCATCGCCAGCGTAGAGGCGCTCATCAAGAAGCACAGGAGCTTCGAGAAGACGTTCGCGGCGCAGGCCAGCCGCGTCGACGAGCTAGAGCACTCGGCCGTGCAGCTGGTGGCCGGCAAACACTGCGACTCAGAGAGCATACAGCAGACGCTGCAGGCCGTCTGCCAGCGCAGGTCTGTGGCTCGGCCGCTTCACAGCACCGCCGTCCTTCCGTGGGCACGGCCAGCGACGGCTGGACATGTGACGCTCCGAGATGCGGTCAGGGAGGCGCCATCCTGTCCTGGTCTTACTGCCATCCATGCGCGGGGCACACCTCCACAAACGCTGTTGGCAAGGCGATCATGTTGAAGTTGCGCCGACAGTCAATACCAATCGCACTTGTCTGTGATGTGCACTAGACTGTCTAAGCTCATCTGTCACATATGCAGTCTGTCAGCGATGTGACGGGATGTGCTGTCTGACGGCCGAGAGGTCAGCGTCCGAGGCTGTCCGACGTAGTTGTCGGGTGCCGCTGGAGGCGCCGCAGCGGCGCGGGCGGCGGCCCGTCTGACGCCGGCGCTGCTGCCGCCAGGGACCGGATCAAGGAGGCGTCGCTGGTGCGCGGCCAGCGGTTGGCCGAGTCGCTCCAGCTGCAGCGCTTCCTGCGCAACATCTACGAGTCGGAGACCTGGCTGGGCGAGAAGATGCAGGTGGCGTGCGACGAGTCCTACCGCGACCCCTCCAACCTGCAGTCCAAGATCCAGAAGCACCAGGCGTTTGAGGCCGAGCTGCACGCCAACGCCGGCCGCGTGCTCGCCGTTAACCAGGTGCGCCGCCGCTCGGCCGCGGGGGCAACTATCCTGTCCGGCGCGCTGAACAGGGCGGGCCGACAGGCGGTCGTCTTGGGCGGGAGGTGAGACCGAGCTGGGGGGGGGGGGGGGGGGGGGGACGTCTGCAGCAGGCAGGCAGGCAGGTTCTGCAGCGGGAGGCAGGACCACCGGCCAGCCAGTGGTCAGGGGAAGCGCGCGGGGCAGAGCAGCTGCCGTGCGTGTCTGGCAGCTGCCGGCCGCGCTGGTACGCCGGCCGGCCATGACGGAGCGGCTGCCGCGGAGTCGTGACGTGCCGGCGGACAGATGTCTGCGCAGCTCCTGGTGGTGCGCCGCCACTCAACGGCCGGCTCCCTGTCCGTGCGCCCGTGTTTGTGTGTGTTTGTAGGCTCGCACGCGTGTGTGTGCTGCATCTCTACCCGTCTTGGTACGGGACATGACTTGCCACGCCACGTGCCGCACGTGAGGTAGGCGTGGCGCGGCTGCCGTCACATCGACCGTCCGCCGCCGGCAGGAGGGCGAGGCGCTGATGACGGCCGGCCATTACGCCGGCATGGAGATCCAGGCGCGACTGGACGCGCTGGAGGCGCTCTGGCGCCAACTGCAAGACGAGACCACGCTCAAGAAGAAGCGACTCCAGGAGGCTTACCAGGTCAGGCTCCGACCAGCGGCTGGCGGCCCGCGCCCGGATGGGCAGACGGAGCGCTGGACGGAGTACCCCGGGGTCTGCTGACAGCGTGCGTTTCAGTGGCGTCGTACCGGGTGGTGCGCGACGCGCGTGTGACGCCGGCCGATGGTCTGCTGTGCGCTCTGGGCGGCCGGCTCCGACCGCGCGTCGTCACCTGACCAGGCCGACCGCCGCCTGACCGCCGCCTGATGCTGCCGTCCATCGACCGCAGGCGCTGCTGTTCCTGCGCACTCTGGACGAGCTGGACGCCTGGATGGACGAGGCGGAGGCGCAGCTGGCCTCCGAGGACCACGGTGACTCGCTGACAGCCGTCACCAACCTGCTGAAGCGACACCAGCTGCTGGAGGCTGACATCCACGCACACGGTGATGCCGTTCAGCAGGTGCGGAGACGCGCGGCCACGCCCCGCGGCCGGCGCACTCGTGGGCACCGGGGCTCAACACTTGGATACCAGCCGAGCACGTGCATGCGACCAACAGCGCCCTTCTTACCAGCTCATCAGGCTCTGTTATGTTAGTGTGGAATGTGGTAATAGCACTCGCTGATGTGGAGTTGGTTTAACCGTTCAAGGGCACGCGCTGTAGCAGTGTCCATCTGCGGCGTCCGATGTCCGTGGCGCGTCGCTGCCGGGCTGTCAGCCCGGCTTCTGTCTGTCGTGCCGGCGCCGGGCCCAACAGCCGCGCTGACGCCGGCCGTTGCGCGTGCTCGCCAGGCCAAGGAGACGGCTGCCCAGTTCGGCCGCTCGCAGCACTTCCAGCGCGAGGAGATCGCCGAGCGGGCCGGCCAGGTGGCGCAGCGCTTCTCGGGGCTGGCCGAGCCGCTGCAGATCCGGCGCGACAACCTGGAGGAGGCGCTCCAGCTGCACCAGTTCATCAGGTGAGGGCGGCCGCCCCGCGCCGCAGCGGCCCTGCTGGGCCAGCTCGGCCAGCTCGGGCCGCTGCCTGCTGCCGGGCCGCCCACGTGCCTGCCAGGGCGCCACGGTCGGCATCACATTCGGTCGCAGAAGACGTGGGATTCATGGGAATCGGAGTTGGGCCGGATCGGTGCTGTAGTGTTGCATACTGGGGATATGTGGCAATTAATGTGTTCTTGTCATTGCCTCTGTTTTAGAAAGTCAGTTGCCCCGTGTCCGGAAGTGACGCCTCTGTATCCAGTAAGTAGCCAACTTAACGTGTCCTTCTCCATGACAGAGACGTGGAGGACGAGATGAGCTGGCTGGCGGAGAAGGAGCCGATGGTCACGTCCGCCGACCTGGGCACTTCGCTGGCCCAGGTGCAGAGCCTGCAGAAGAACCACCAGGTGCGCACTGCCAGGGCCGGCGCTCAGACCGCGGGCCGAGGCCGGATCGACGGCGCCGCGCCGTGGCTGGCGGATGGCCTCCAGCTTCTTTGGTCGCGTGTGATGTGTCAGAGCGGCCATCGACCATGGCCGATTGCCGTCGGTGTTTGTGATGTGCCTGCTTGACGTGAGGTGAGGCGACGTGACGCGACGTGGCGCGACGTGACGTGACGGCCTGGCGCCGCTGCCCCGTGTCTCACGCCGCTGCTGCTGACCCAGGCGCTGGAGGCCGAGATCCAGTCGCACGACCCCGTGATCGCGGCGCTGGGCAGCGCAGCCCAGCAGATGATACGCGCCAACCACTTCGCGGCCGGCGAGGTGGAGCGCCGCTGGCGGCTGCTGCAGGAGCGGCACGGCCAGCTCCGCGACGCGGCCAGCGTGCGCCGGCTCCGGCTGCTGGACGCGGCCGAGTCGCAGCAGGTGCGTCCGCCCCGGACCGGTCAGCCGGTCCCGGCCGGTTGGGACTTCCCAGCTTGGCTGGTGACCGGTGCTGCTCTGCCAGTGTTGTGAAGCGAGTGGGAGGCTTGTGCCACGGACCGGAGATGAATGACGCTGGCTGTTGGGTTGCCGTTGTCCGGGCTATGCCGCGGAGTGGCTCTGGCGCTGATGGGGCATTGTGATGGCGGCTGGCTGGGAGCGTTGATTCGCGTCGCCGGAACTTGTTGACCGCGTGGTGACCGGCCCTGTGCGTGCCGCAGTTCTACGCCGAGGCCGAGGAGGCGGACAAGTGGATGAGGGAGCGGAAGCCGCTGCTGACCTCGCAGGACACGGGCAGGGACCGCGATGCCGTCACGTCGCTCATCAAGAAACTGGACCTGATCGAGCGCGACATCTCAAACTATAACCAGGTGAGCGGCTCCGCGCGGCCAGGCCAGGCCGGTTACGCTCGGGTGAGCCACGCTGTGGCGGGCCACGCTCGGGCGGGCCACAATGGAGTGGGCCACGCTCGGGCAGGCCACGCTCGGGCGGGCCACAATGGAGTGGGCCACGCTCAGGCAGGCCACGCTCGAGCAGGCCACGCTCGGGCGGACCACGCTGTAGCGGGTCACGCTCGGTCAGGCCACGCTCGGTCTGGCATCACCTAGTCATCTGTGCGTCGAAGCCTGCCGCGGACTGTTCTGAGGCCGAGCTGCGCATAACGCCGTCTAATGACTGCGTCTGCGCTAGCGGCAGGGTGGCAATGACGTACAACACTGTTCGCGGGATGAGGGTTCCCGCGTGTCCCGTGCTTCGTCCGTTGCTCTCACGAGCTGGCGATGGTCTTGCCGCCACTGACCGCCGCTCCCGGCTCGCTTACCGTGTCCGTTTCTCGCACGAGCTGGCGATGGTCGCGCCGCGCCGCTGACCGCCGCCCCCGGCCGCCCACTCGGCAGGTGATCGCCAAGCTGTCGCAGCTGTGCCAGCGGCTGTCGGACCGCGGCCACTTCGACGCCGAGCCGGTGTCGGCGCGCCGCGCGGAGCTGGAGCAGCAGTACGCCGAGCTGGTGGCGCTGCTGGAGACGCGTCGTCAGCTGCTGCAGCAGAGCCAGCGGCTCTTCCGCTTCCTGGCCGAGGCGGACGAGGCGGCCGACTGGGTGTCAGGCCAGATGCAGGCGGCCGCGTCGGAGGACTACGGACGCGACGTCGAGCACGTGGAGCTGCTGGTGCGTGGCCACGCTTGTCCCGTGTATGGTGCGGCAGGGTACTGGCCAGCATGCACCCGGTAACACTGCTGCTGCAGTGATGCTTTGTTCTGTTGTTACAGCAGCGCGGTTGGTTTATTGTCGCGCGTGCCGGAGTATGTTGTTTGGCCGCCCGCTGTACTGTCAACAGGGCTAGTCGGGTTCAGTCGGGCCCCTCCGCAGCCTGCGTTGGCCGCTCAGCCCCACCTGACGCCTGGCGCCGCCCGGTCGGCAGATCAACAAGTTCGAGACGTTCCTGAGCGGGCTGCAGTCGAGCGAGGAGCGCGTGACGTCCGTGGAGGAGAGCGCCCGTCAGCTGGTGGCCGCCGAGCACCCGCAGCCGGAGCGGGTGCTGCAGAGGGCGGCCGACCTGCGCCAGATGTGGGACGACCTGCGCGAGCTGACTCAGGCCCGCCAGGAGGTGAGGTCGCCGCCGCCGCACTGGGAGCGCCCGCTCGGCCGTGTCCACCGTACTGAGGCTAGGGTCTTCAGATCAAGCCAGTGCTTCTGATAGGTGTGTCCGTCGCGCAGTTACTGTGCACACGTTGAGAAGGTGGCATTCGCTGCTAACGCTGCCGCGTTACCTTGAGCGCTTCAATGTTCTTCCCCGTGTCCCCAGTGTCAATGTTTTTCCACGCGCGATACTGACGCGCCACCTGGGTGGCGTGATCAGCTGGTGGCCTGTCGCCGTTGGCGGGCCTGCTCGCTCGCCCCGGCGAACGGCCGCCTGACCCCGACGGTCGGCCCCGCTGCCCGCAGGCTCTGCTGGGCGCCAAGCAGGTCCACGTGTTCGACCGGGACGCGGACGAGACGATCGGCTGGATCGCGGAGAAGGAGGCTGCCCTCTCCACAGACGACTACGGCCACGACCTGGACTCGATCCAGGCGCTGGTGCGCCGGCACCAGGGCTTCGAGCGGGACCTGGCCGCCGTCAAGGAGCAGGTACGGCCAGGCGCCCGACCTGTCGGGGAAGCGGGCACGAGGACACACTGGGGCTGTCAGATGACACTGGTGCATGCAGAGACGGCCAGGCGGCCGATCCGGTGGGAAGGTGGGCACGAGGACACACTGGAGCTGTCAGATGACACTGGTGCCTGCAGGGACGGCCAAGCGCCCGATCCGGTGGGAAGGTAGGCACGAGGACACGGGCCGTCAGATGATACTGGTGCCTGCAGGGACGGCCAGACCCGGGGGCCTCTTGGGGAGCACGTGCGAAGGGACCCTGCAGATGATGAAGCCCCGGGGACTCGGGAGTCTCTTGAGCAGCGCGTATGGGGAGAGAGTGTGTGGCCGTCACATGAGCTGGTAATGACAGACTCCGTTCTGTCTGATGAGCGAGTGCGGTCCTGTCCAGGCAGACGCTGGGCCTGTCAGGAGGGCCGAGCGGAAACATTGCTGTCATGGCCAGCGATGGAGCGGTGTGATTTCAACCGGTCACTGTGCTTGAATGTGCTATGCTTGTCGACAGCGGCTGATACACGGCCAGCGCTGTGTCCGCCCTTTCGAGGGCAGAGCAGGGTGGACAGGGCCCGATGGCGTGTCAGTGTGCGCCCAGCCTCCGCTCGGACGGTGCCGCGCCACCACGGCCGGTCGCACAGGCGCGTGTTGACCTCTGGTGATTCCGTCCGTGTCCGGCAGGTGGAGCAAGTAGTGGCGGAAGCCAAGCGTCTGGCGGCGCAGTTCCCGGACGCGCGCGACCACATCAGCGTCAAGCACGAGGACACGGTGCAGGCGTGGAACGACCTGCTGGACAAGTCGGCCCAGAGGAAGGACAAGCTCGAGCAGGCTGCTGACATCCAGGCCTACTTTGACGAGTACAGGGATCTCATGTGAGTGGTGACCCAGCTTTTCAGTGCGTGGCTTAGGTGGTGTTTTGTGACTAACTCATCATGCGGCACATCTGCCGTAGCGCGTCATGAACTCTAGTCGGATTGCGCGGTCAGCTGGCGCGGCAACACCGTGAAGGCTGCCCCTCCCCCTCCCCTACACGCGCACTCCTGTAAGTTTGAATGGCATCTGCGGCGTGATGCGCCGTCGCCCGTGTCCAGTTCTCTGGACACGGGACATCTCGCGCTTTTGCAGCCGATGCGCATTGTGTCCTCCCGCCTCAGCCCTGTGTCCTCCCGTCGCCGTGTCCTCCCGCCGTCGTGTCCTCCCATCGCCGTATGTCCTCCCGCCGCCGTGTCCTCCCGTCGCCGTGTGTCCTCCCGCCGCCGTGTCCTCCCGTCGCCGTATGTCCTCCCGCCGCCACCGCCGTGGCTCGACGTTGACGTGCCCGGCTGCGGCAGGGCTTGGATCAACGAGCTGCTGGCCAAGATCACGGCCCCGGAGCTGGCGCGGGACGTGGCCGGCGCCGAGGCCCTGCTCGGCCGGCACGCCGAGTACCAGGCCGAGCTGCAGACGCGACAGGACGCCGTGGACGCGGTCAGTGGCGGGTCCGCCGCCCTGTGAACGCCGCACCGGCCGGCGCGCCGGGCTGCTGCAGGACTGCCGACGATAATGCGACGATCATATCACGTTTTGCCTTGACAGACAGGCTGTCTTTCATGCGTGTGCTGTACGAATCCGTGCGTTTTTGCGAGAGCTAGAAAAGTTGCCACTTGCGCGGATGTTCTGTGTCGGACAGATGAATGCGCCGGGTGGAAGACGTTTATTTCATCTGCTTGGTCGTCTCCCACGTAGTTCGCAGTGGGTGGATGATCTGACCGACCCCCGCGCGGTCCCCAGTTCATCGCCCGCGGCCGGGAGCTCGTCATGAGCGGCCACTTCATGGCCAACGACATCCAGGAGAAGGTGTCGGTGCTCGGCGCCCGGCGTGACCTGCTCGGCCAGACTTGGAACGACCGCAACGACATCTACAATCAGAGTCTGGACACACAGGTTGGTGCCACGGGCCGCGGGGGCTGGGTGAGATTGGATGGCGCCTGCACTTTACGTGGGGAGAAGAACCGACGGTTTTGGTCACAGGCCTACAGACATTTGATCTTCGCGGACGGTGGACCACACTACTGACACGATCTGTAGGGACCTCCCTAAAGTAGTCTACACGATAACCCAGCATCAGCCTCAGCCGCTGTGCCAGCGCCAGCTGCGGCCGTCCGTGCTTGGGCCGGCTTGCCCGCGGCGCGCGGCTGGCCGCGGGCCGCCGGCCGCCGCCGAGCCGCGCGCTGACGCGGCGCGTGTGCGTGTGCGGCGCCGCCGGCAGATGTTCAAGCGGGACGCGGCGCAGCTGGAGTCGTGGCTCTCGAGCCGGGAGCCGGTGCTGACGGACCCAGCCGTCGGCAGTAGCATCGGCGAGGTCGAGGAGCTCATTCGCCGCCACGACGACTTCCTCAAGACCATCGAGTCGCAGGAGGACAAGTTCGACGCGCTCAAGCGCACCACGCTGGTGAGTGCGCCGGCGCAGGTGACGTGGCGCCTCTCCCGCGCTGCTCGCAGCACAACATACCTCGGTTGGTTGGTGCTCTTGGCTTGACGAGTGCAAGTGATGTGTAGCATAAGCAGAAGGCGTCCATCTTCTCTAAACCCATCAGCAGGACAATCTGTTACTCAATAGACGTCCAGCTCAGCGATTTTGGACCAACCCTCCTATGACGTTATGTTGGCCCCGCCTAGGCCGGTCATCGGTTGTGAGTGCGGTGCGGACTATTATTGCTGTTAGATGTCGACAGCCTCAGAAGCGGGAGCTTGTGCCGTCTGGTGTCGTACGGCGTCCGTCTGACCTTGCGCCAGAGAAAGCTAAGTGTCCTGTGACGCCCCTGTGGCTATTGGTTGGATACGGACGGTGTCGCATGATGCCCATCGGGCACTTCCCCTGACACCGCTGGGTGTCATATGACGCCCCTCTGACCCGGTCTCGCTTCCGCAGCTGGAGGAGGCGTTCGCGCGCATGCGCCGTCGGGAGGAGGAGGCGCGCGTGGCCGAGCAGAAGCGGCGCGAAGAGGAGCGGCTGCGCCAGATCCGCCAGCAAGAGGTGGACCGCATCACCAAGGTTGGGCCCGGCCCTGGCTCACGCACGGGCCGCGCGGCTTCGGTGGGGGCACGGTCGTGTCGTTTGTATGTCATCAAGTAGTTACGCAACAAAACAACGTGTGGCTGGCCGAGCGCATGATCAAATCTGTGTTTCGAGAAGGGCTGACATGGCTGAACGGTTTGCGATGCGTTCGGTTCAGTTTCACCCAGATCCCGATATTTCGTATCAGATACAGACACGTCCTGCATTGTGTTGCCCGCTGCCCTTGGGCTGCGAGACCTGTACTCGTCCAGTGTCGCCCCTCTCACTGACCCGGGCGCCGGCCCGCCCGGCAGGAGCGGCGCGGTCTGGAGCTGGAGCACGAGTCCGGCGACGCCAGCCCCAGGTGAGCGCGCTGGCCCGGCCGCCGCGTGCCGGCTATCATGTCTTACTAACGCACTTCTCCGCCCCTTGGCGGGCGGCTGTCGTCTGTAGTGTTGTAGCGAGGCGCGGCGCCCGTCGGCTGACGCGCCGCCGCCGCGCCCGCGCGTCTCTGTCTCTGTCGGCCTGACGGGCCAGCTGTCGGCTGGTACTGCCCACTGGGACGGGCTGGCGTCGGGCGGTGGGCGCACTTACGGCCTTGACCTCTGACCTGGTGCCGTCCGCAGCCCCGCGGCCGACGACCGACAGCCGGGCCGGCTCGTTCACTCCGCCTCGTTTCCAGACGTTTCTGAGAGGTATTTGTGTCCACGGCGGACGCTTAACCCGGCCGCTGCTGCCACCTAGCGCTAACCGGGAATGGCTCTAGATGTCACGGATGTCAGTAGGTGGTGCGCCAAGCGCTTTCTGGCTATAACCTTTGGGTTTGGTGCGTCTCATTTTCGTTCTGTTTGCTCTGTAGTGTATTATTTTGTTCACATTTTTCTCACCCATTCTTTTTGTTGCATTTGCGTGGCGTTTTTTTTTTGGCCAAGTTCTTCATACACGCCCAATGCTAGCACAGGGCTTGTTCAGTGACACTGTCCCTATTCGTCAACACGTCCGCTCACGAGCGTAGCTGTAGTCCGCTGGGATGTCACTGTCACCATCGTATGACACTTTGTGGTATTTCAACAGCAGCCTGTGTCGTTCTGTCACTGTGAGCCCGAGGTGGCTGTCTGTCCACGTCGGGGAAAAGGGGACGGTCGGGGCCTGAAGGCGGCCGGCTTCTCGGTGCCTGGCAGCCGTTAGCTTTGTAAACACGCAAGGGGCTCTGGGCTACACAGGGCTGACGTGGCACAGACCAGCGCGGCGCGCGTTTAGAGCTGTGTCCGGGTTAGTGGTGTATATTTGTTGCCGTGCGTCCGTCCACGGTACCCTCCGCTGCAGGCTACGCCAGACCGCTCGCGCTGACAGACACGCTTGGGGCCGTTCCGTTTGGTATTGATTGTAATGGTTGTGCATTATGATGGACCTTGGTTGATTGTTTTTGCTGCGTTTAGCTCCGTCTGATACCTTTCATGCGTTGTATTCATTGCTTGATGGTACGTTCCTTGTGGAAGCATTTCCCTTCGTTTTGTTATTTCATTTAATTGTGTGTGGTTTGAATGTATCTTTCAATCGCTTGATACTGAATAGAGCACCGCACTAAGCGGCGACAAGGATGCCGAGGCAGTCGTTACTGCGCTGTTCGCCACCTCAGCGGTGGCGTGGGTTACACCCCTGGTGCTTGGGGTCGTTGATGCCCGCTGGGCAGGAGTCATGCTGCCCACAATGACCGCTGATCATTCGATCAGACGGCACGTGCTAACCGGACTCACACACGCTATATCCGTCCATCCACAGGGTGCTCCTCAAGAATCCCATGCTAACGGAGAAGAAGATGGGCAGCCAGTCGAGTCTTTCTAGTCTGAAGCGAGGTGAGAGTCGACCCCAGCTGGGCGTGATCACCCCCCAACGGCGGACACCTCGGTGCTGGTGCCGCCAGGTGCCGTGGCTCCGCGCCGTGCTCCCGCGCGGTCGCCACTGACACTGGTCGAATGTTTTGAGGTCATTTTCGTGCCTGTGGTGTTGTGCCCGTTTGCAGTCGAGGTGACGTAAACCCTGCGTCCTCTGGCCCGGGAAACTGGCTGTGCCAAAGAAGTGCTACTTAACCGATCTTAGCTTCTTGGGCGTGAGGCGCCCCGCGCTCTGCGAGTTATGCTCTTGCATTGTCAACGAAATGTCGTTTGCGCATTCTTGAGCCCGTTTTGGAGTGTTCCTCACGAATATAACTGCACATACATGTTGTGGAAGCAATACCAATGCAATCCCATTCATTATAAGTATATATCTGTGTCCACAGCTCGTATCCCGGCTGTGTGAGTGTGTGTGCGCGCTCAGGATTACTTAAGAGAATACTTTGGCTAGTGTCCCCCTGTGAGCACTGTCCTCATATGTGCACTGTCCTCCCCTATAAAGACCGGTCTTTCCATATGTACACTGACCCCCCCCCCCCCTCTGATGGTTTGGGTGCGTTCTTGTGGTGGCCCGGCCTGCGGCATGTGGCTCCCGGATGTGTGTGTTGGTGCGTGCGTACATGCGTGCGTGCGTGTGTGTGTGACCCCGGCCCGGCCGTGTGACCGGCCGGCGTGTTGTGACCCTGTTGTCACGTCGGCCGCCCCCTGACGGACGCCGCTGGCCTTCTAGTGATCCGCCAGGGAGTCGCAGCTGCTCTTCCAGGGGTAGGTGCCGACCAGGCCGCCAATCGCCGGCCGTCTGTTTCGCATGTGTAGCCTGCTCTCAGACTAGCAGTACTGTACGGACCCGGCGGCTGCACAGGCCAGGGCGTCATACGGACCCTGCACTGTACCGACCATGGTGCCTTACGCGCCACGGGACCGTTCAGACCTGGGTATTGCCCGTACCCTGGGACTGGGCAGACCTGGGTATTGCCCGTACCCTGGACCTGGGCAGACCTGGGTATTGCCCGTACCCTGGACCTGGGCAGACCTGGGTACTGCCCGTACCCTGGGACTGGGCAGACCTGGGTATTGCCCTTACCCTGGACCTGGGCAGACCTGGGTACTGCCCGTACCCTGGGACTGGGCAGACCTGGGTATTGCCCGTACCCTGGGACTGGACAGACCTGGGTATTGCCCGTACCCTGGGACTGGGCAGACCTGGGTATTGCCCTTACCCTGGACCTGGGCAGACCTGGGTACTGCCCGTACCCTGGGACTGGACAGACCTGGGTACTGCCCGTACCCTGGGACTGGACAGACCTGGGTACTGCCCGTACCCTGGGGACTGGACAGACCTGGGTATGCCCTTCCTGGGACTGGACAGACTGGTATGCCCGTACCCTGGACTGGACAGACCTGGGTATTGCCCGTACCCTGGGACTGGACAGACCCTGGCAGTGTGGGACCATGGGACTGTGCGGACCACTGGGACCGTACGGACCAGTGGGACCCTGCGGACCAGGGGGACCGTGCGGCTCACTGGGACCGCACAGACCACTGGGACCGTACGAGCCACCGCAGCCGCTCTCGCGGTGTCTGCCCCCCTCAGACTAGATGTACATGCGCTCGGCTCTCCTGACCTCAGTTTGGAGCACTGAAGGCAGCGCCGTCGCCCGTCCCGCGCGTCGGCGCACCGCCCTCGCTACACTAGCGGAACGGCTTGATTCCTGAGCCGGTCGGTGTGTGCGGAGGAGCGGTCCAGGACGGGTCGGACATGCCCGCACTGTCGGCACCGACAGCAGACGCGGCTGTTGAGACTCGGCCCTTTGTTCGCCTCGCTGTCAAACTGTGCGCCGGTTGGACCGCCAGGCTCTTGGATTAGACGCCTTGTTCGTTTATGCCCCGTCGTTGTCGTGTGTGAACACACGCTTGGAGCGCGCGCTTGATCAGGACGATGCAACGCACGTTATTGTTGTTGTCGGCACGGTAGTTTCCCTGCCATCGTGACTCGCACGCTGACTGTCCGGTATTTCTCGTATGCTTTTTTTAGAGTTGCTAGAATTATTAGGCGTAAAAAGTAACGCTTTAACGTGGTTAACTTCAAGACGTCTGAAGCCCTTTCACTCGTCGCATGGATAGTCCTTGATGTCATGCTGTAGTTAAATCTCGTCAGTTTGATCGGTTTATTGGAACGTGAGGCCACCTTGAAGCGGCGCGGTACAATAGCCAGCAGAGGGCTAGCGGTCCGTCGCCCAGGGTCGAGCTCGTCGCATCCTCAAGGCCCCACTGTGACGGCGAACCTGACCTGTCTCCCGGTCGTGACTCTGACCTCTCATCGCCGAGCTCTGAACTGTCTGCGCTCCCTGACCTCTGATCCGCCTCACTCTGGCCTCTCACTGCCGAGGTCTGACCTCTCACCGCCGAGCTCTGAACTGTCTGCGCTCCCTGACCTCTGATCCGCCTCACTCTGACCTCTCACTGCCGAGGTCTCAACTGTCTGCGCTCTCTGATCTCCGATCCGCCTCACTCTGACCTGTCACTGCCGAGCTGTGAACTGTCACTGCTGAGCTCTGAACTGTCTGCGCTCCCTGACCCCCGGTCGGCCTCACCCTGACCTGTCACTGCTGAGCTCTGAACTGTCTGCGCTCCCTGACCTCCGGTCGGCCTCACTCTGACCTGTCACTGCTGAGCTCTGAACTGCCTGCGCTCCCTGACCTCCGGTCTGCCTCACTCTGACCTGTCACTGCTGAGCTCTGAACTGCCTGCGCTCCCTGACCAGTGATTTGCCTCACTCTGACCTGTCACTGCCGAGCTCTGACCTCTCACTGCCGAGCTCTGGACTGTCTGTCCTTCCTCCCGACCTCTGACCCGCCGCCCGTCGCCCCAGGCGATGTGAAGCGGGCCGAGAGCATGAAGACGGAGAACAAGAAGGCCAAGCGGACGCCCAGCTTCACCACGCGGCGTCGCACGCAGAGCTTCCGCAAGGTCAAGAAGCTGGAGGAGGTGCAGAACCTGCCGCCAGTCGAGGTGGACGGCGTGCTGGAGCGCAAGCAAGAGCTGCAGAGCGGTGGCAAGAAGGCCACAATCCGCAGCTGGAAGACCTACTACACAGGTGAGGTGGCACCCGGCGATCTGCGCTCGTGCTGCGCTCGTCAGCTATGTCAGCGGTCCCTGAATACCCGTATTCGCCTGGTCCCTGGAAAGGGTTTGAGCGTGTCACTGGTCCCTGAGCGCGCTGTCCGTGACGATGGGAGCCCCGTTGTTGACGTCGCGTGTCCTGCTCGCCAGTGCTGTGCGGCCAGCTGCTCTGCTTCTTCAAGGACGTGGACGACTTCGCCAACAGCAAGGCGGCGGCGTCGCCGCTGATCCTCTTCCAGGCCCGCTGCGAGCGAGCGGTCAACTACACCAAGAAGAAGAATGTGTTTCGGTGGGTCTGCTTGGACTGGCACATTCGGTGCCAGGCAGCTGAGTGATGTGAAGTTGAGTGTATTTGTTTGGATTGGAGCCTCGTTGGGCAGCAATGACAATTTCAGAGCTATGTGACGAAGGAGAGTGGAGAGCGGTGGGACAACACCAACTGCATTTGGGGGTCCTCCACTAGCGATACTTACCCCACACGGGAGCTCCTCTGCGGGCTGTGTGCGGCCGTTGTGACGGGGCTCCCGCCAGGGGACCCTTGAGCCCGCTCACGGCTGAGGCGTGCAGCCTGCCCCGGGTAAATGGAGCGCTGCCAGAATTCAGGATAGAGCTGTGATAGAGGACAGAAGGAAAGGATGCATAACTCGGATGAAACCGCGTTACAGGCATCTTGTGAGTGAATCTGATATTCGGCCGAGTGTGATGAGAATATGGAGTGGAAGTCGGAGTGACGCATTCCCTGTGCTGTGTGATAGTGTTTGAAACCTTGTTGTCCAGGACTGAATCAAACTGACGCTGCGTATGATCCCAGGAGGTCGTTGCACAGCATCGCTATCCGGAATCTGCCAGCACCTGCCTTGTGTCTTTCCCGGTGAACAAACCACCTGCGTTTAGGGACTTCCTTTTAGTGATGGAAACGGTCGTGACCAGTGTCAGCGCATCCCCGGGAGGACGGACTGACCTCTGGTTGTGGCCCGTTGCAGCGTGTCGCCAACAGATGGCTCTGAGTACCTGTTTGCGACGGAGAGCGAGGAGCAGCTGCAGGAGTGGATCAACAAGATCGACTTCCACGCCCAGCTGCCGCCGTCGAAGCAGCTGCTCAGCTACGACCAGCAGACGGTGAGGCGGCGCGCTGCCCGTGCGGCGGCGGGGCTCGGCGGCGCCCCGTCCCACCCGGGCGACGGCACCACTGAGTCGCAGCATGGGCCTTGCCTGTTGTGTCGTTGGCGTGAAGCGTGAGGTTCTGATCCAAATGAACTGCTCTGGGGAGTGGTTGGACTGGACTTACCATTGGGTTGGCTTCACTCACACCGGCGGACTGAGAGCAGCACATCTGGCGATGTTGGCGTTTGTGCTCCGCGCCTCACCGTGCCTGACTCCGTCGTGGGACCTTCATGTAATGACATGCTAAAAACTGTGATGGATGAACCCAGCCTCATCATGCGCACTTTGAGTCCACCTTTGTAAGGGCGTTTGAGCGCGTTCGCGAGGGCTTGACTGAATGTGACCGTCGGTCGTCGCCGGCCACTCGGCGGCGGCGACGGCGGCGGATTGGGGGTGGGACGGTCTCGCGGCACGTGGGTGACGCGCCACCTTCCTGACGCATGGCCGGCGACGCAGCATGGCCGGCGTGTGCAGTTTGTGTCGTGGGGAATGCTCTGCTGCACTGAGGTGCCTGCTGCACGCACGGGGGACCGACGGCCGCCCCTCCTTCCGCGCCTCTCCCGGCCCCGCCCAACCCCGCCCTGCCCGCCCACCCCGCTCGCCGCTTTCGGACAGCGCAGGCTGCCTCTTTACGAGGGTGGATGCATTAAAAGAATCACGACTTTTCGGTCCGGGCTGAGCAGTCGGTGGAGCGTTCTCCCACGAATGTTCGCGGCCCGTCGTGGGTCGGAGACTGGCGGTGGGCGCCAGTTTTGCCGTCCGCGCCACCATCGGCTTCACCGCGGCGCTGATTGGCCAAAGATGGCGGCACGCCGTTCAATCCCACAAATCAATATTTCGCAGCTTGTGGACTGCTCGACATTATCGCCATTTGAAAACACCAGCATCCGAGACAAAACTTTGCGAAAGCGAGTGGAGGCGGGCAGGGGGCGGCGGGCGGTCTCTGACGGGGCGAGGCGGGGGCGGCGGCCGGCCGGTCCCCGGCATGTCCGCCGCCGCTGTCGGCGCCCTCTAAACGCGCTCCGTGGGCCGCGGCCGGCCGTGCGCAGGCCGAAGCCGACTCGGAGTCGAGCCGCGAGACGTCGCCGGAGCCGGTGAGCCGCCGGCCGGCGCATCCGGAGCCCGTCTACGCCAACCTGCCGGCGCCCCAGCAGCGGACAGCGCAGGTAGGGCGCGGCCCGAGCCCAGCCAGCCGCGCACCGGACGCCGCCGGTCAGAGTCAGCGGGGCGGCGAGAGATGGCACTGCGGTACAACCCAGCAGAGCACGGCGCCGCAACTCTGCTGTCGTTTTCGTTCTCTCTGGCCTGTGATGGGCTGGTGCCACGGCTTCATGTCCGCGTAGCTCGGTCGTTGCAGTGTAAGAATCGGTGTTACCTGATGACTGATCGCCTGGCGTCAGGTCGGTGCCTAGCAAATCTCATGACCGGCGTATATGGATGTCGCATCGTGGCGATCGGACCATGATGGCCACATGTCAGCGGCCCGTGGCGCGGCCGTCATGCGCTCGCAACGGTGGCGGCGGCCGGTGACGTGTGGTGGCACCTGTGGCCGGCAGACGGAGCAGACCGGGCCGCCCATACCGCCGCGGGACTCGGTCAGCCCGCCCACCCCGCGCGCCGCCGCCGGGGAGGGGCCCATCTACCAGAACCGCGTCTCGGTCATCCCATCCATCGGTGAGTGGGGCGACGCCCTAACGCAGCCGGTCGGCGGGCGATGAGTGGGGTCCCTCGCCCGGACACACGGTACTCAACGTTCCCTTCAGCTCAATGTTTCTCTCATTGAAAGACAACTGTCGTGGCTACGTTCGTGAGATGTAGATGAAATGCGAATCTTGTTCTGAGAAGCGCGCTCGAATGAGTTACACATGTGGGCTACTGCTGACATTGGGGCCCTGAAAATATCGTGTGTGGGTGTGTGCCTTTCTTACATTGTGCCGGTCCGTGACGGCTGACCCCGCTGTTCGGTCTATGCCACCAGAGGAGGAAATGCACGGGCGCGAGGAGAGGAACGGCATCCGCCGGCACTCCTCCGACTCGCGCCACCCCCACGGGGACGGTACGTACCGCCGCGTGTCCGACCCGCGCTCCCACGTCAGCGGTGCGTCACGCGCTGACCCACGCGGCGGATCGGTCCCCGACCGGGTCCGATTCTGCCCTGCCTCACACGCAGACGGAAGCTGTGACGTCACTGGTGTGCGATGTCACTGGTGTGTGACGTCACTGGGTGCCAGCGCCGATGCCTGCCTGTCGGCGAGTAGTGCTGCGCCGCTTCCGTAGTGTCGCCCTGGCCATTGCTTTAGGCGGTGCCGAAACACTGCCAGCGAAGACTGCCTTCATCGTGGACGCCGCCACGACGGAAACAGTGTAGTTGCGTTGCTTGCTTCATGTTCTCCGAAAGTGTACGGAGGCCCGCCGACTTCGTTTGCTCGTCTGCCGCGCGTCGCCGCGTGACGGGCCGTTCGGCGGCTGCTATCCGGCGCCGCCGTCCGGCGCCGCCGTCCGGCCGGCCGGTCCGCCGTGGCCGGCCTGTCCGCCGTGGCCGCCCAGTGCTGATGGCGCCGTGTTTGTACGCCCGCTAGAGTCTGCGCCTCCGCCGCTGCCCAGCTCGGCGCCGCCGCCGTCGGCCACCCACCGACTGCACGGCCTGTCAGCCGTCGACGGAGGTAGGCTGGCTCGCCGCCGTCCGCCGCGGCTGGGCCCCCTCCGCGCCGGGATGGGTCACACGGATGTCCTGATCCGCTTCACCAGATCCGACCAGCGAGCCGCCCCGGGCTGGTACCCCTCCTCGGGACAGACGTAGACGCCCAGCTGTGGGCAGGTAGGCGCCATGCTCGATGGGCCCGCTGCTGGGAGAGATACAGGACCATTCCTGTCTGGGTGGGTGGTATTTTGTATCTCTCGGACGGGAAGCGGTTATCCCTCTATTTTAATCCCGTAAACGAACCTGGATCAGGATTTCTTCCCAAGGCCGACGAGGATGTGAGCGTGCGTGTTTGTGTTTAACACGGTTTTGCCACCGTGTTGCGCTGGGCGCGGGTGGAGCTTACTGGTCCCTCCCTGGGCGTGCTCTTTGTGCGGTTGCGGACGTTGGTGACCCAGAAGACTTTGCCTCCTTCTCTGTGTGGGAGGCATCTGCTTTCCTTCCGTGCAGTGCAGCCGACATATGCAGGTAATCGTTTCAAATAAGTCCAGCCACCGTCACTGGAGCCCTTGTTAGGCGTGGTCAGCGTCATCCATGTCTCCTGCGCGTGCCTAGCGAGGTCACGTGCCCAGACGGCGAACGAGCTGTGCCGAGCCTGAGCCGGCCCGCTCCTCCGCAGGGGGTGACCCGAGGTCACGTCAGGCGCCGGGCGAGACCACGCTGGCGACGGGTCCAGCGCCGGCGCCGTACGCCGGCCGGACGGCCTCGCTACCCTACGGCCAGCAGCCCTCGCCGTCCGGCAGCAATAGGTCGGCCACCATGGACCAGAGGTGAGCCAGCCCGCCGGAGCCGCGCGGCGCCGGCGCTCGTGGGCTCCGAGTGCCAGCGGATCCATGGCGTGTCGGGTGCTAGTCATGCACGAAAGTCACGGGCCGCAACGCCGCCCGCAAACATGACGTGTTCGTTCTCAGTGTTTGATCTCAGGTTTGGGCGTTGGTGCGTCGCGACGAAACGTCGGTGAGGGTTCCGGCGTTCTTTGTGGGACTGAAAGCTACCGAAGCCGCCGAGAGCTTGTCACCCACGTATGCGCACTCTGCGCCACGGTTCGTCGCGGTAAGCTTGGTGCAGCCGTGTCTGGCGCTGGTCAGCGCTGTCTGTCCTGTTGTCCGAGCCGGCGGTTCCGCCGGCGGTGACGGGATTGTGCTCCGTGCTCACCGTGCTCCGTGCTCATTGACCGTGCTCACCCCGCACCAGGAATGGCAGCGAGAGCGGTAGCGAGCACGAGGATCGGCGCATCGCCAAGCGCGGCTCTGTGTTCGGGTTCCTGCGCAGGAACAAAAAGGACAAGCAGCCGGCCCAAGTGTAGGCAGTCCCGGCGCCAACGCGCATGCGCAAACGGGAGTCGGCAGCGCCGCCCGCACGTGTATTCGAAAGTGCAAATCAGTGCTGGAGGGAGTGATTGTCCTCAACGTTTAGTTACTCAGCTGTGGAGGCAAAGCATGGAGATGAACGTGCTATTTAATGTTACGCTCTAGTTTACGCGCGTTAAGCTATGTTTTATCGTCGTTTCCGGCTTGAATAGAATTGCTTGCATAAGCGCATTATTTTGGGTTTGCACCGCAAGTGCCGATTTCCATTTGATGTTGAATGGATGATCATATGCTGGTGTTGCAGCTGTGGCTGGCGTGTGTCTGCGATGTCCATGAGTACCAAATACCTGAAGATTGCTAGAGGCATCTAGATATTTAATTTCAGTTATTCCGTCTTGCACAGTGCCTTCAACTTTGTACAATTATGCGATTAGTCGATTTTCGTTTCGCCTTCCACAATAAATGACTACAGTTGATTGTGGTTTGAGGCAGTCGCTGCCCGGTCTGATCCGTAACTGAAGACACAGGCGGGCCCAGGGTGCCGACCCGGGCTCCCCACGCCGGGCGTGAAAGTGACCGCGGTACAGGCTGTGGTATTCTTCTCACCTTCTCACCTTCGGTTGACGGAGCGTGGCAGCCAGCGGGCGGCAGGTACCTCCCTCACGCTGTCACGAGAGTCACACGCCGCAGCCCCCACATAACGACGCCCGTCACTGTCAGGGAGCCTTGCACCTCAGTCCCCACGTAACAACGCTCGTCATACTGTTGCGAGAGCCACAAATCACGGTCCCCATGTAGCTAGGTTGGTTATAACGTGGAGGTACGTAGCATTTCTGCACTGATTCCGTATTCAAACAGGTCTATCATACCAAAGACCACCTACATCTCCGAAAAGGCGTGTCTGTTTGCATGTTTGGTCATCTGTTGTCTTTTGCTGTTTGGCCCGTAGCGGGTGAAACAGAGCAGCAAGAGCCTGAGGAGCACGCACATACGAGCGCGAGGAGTGCACGCGCGTGCTGCCGGCCCGATATCCGAACTGATCTACGGGCGCCTTGCGCTGGTGGAAGGCTTGGTTTAAGTCCGTAGGGTTACCATTTGTCGTGTTCGTGGCGATGCACGTTGAGCGGTTATCGGGCCGTCGAAGCGATGCTTAGTTTGTAGTGCGAGCAACAATGAAAAACGGGATCAGCCGGCAGGACGCCGATCTTCATGAATAGCGCATGCGCACATGTAAGATCGCAGATCGAGGACGATTACGGGTGCTATTTGTGTAGATAACTTAGTCAGCAGTACTTGACGCTTCTGGTGATGTCTCAGTACAGATTCTTCGACAAACTGTGAATTGTTGATCCGACTCAGTCAGCAGTGCTTGGCGCTTCTGGAGATGTCACACTAGTGATCCTTCGACAAACTGTGAGTTGTTGATCTGACTCAGTCAGCAGTGCTTGGCCCTTCTGGAGATGTCTCATTACAGATTCTTCGACAAACTGTGAACTGTTGATCTGACTCAGTCAGCTGTGCTTGGCGCTTCTGGGGATGTCACAGTAGTGATTCTTCGACAAACTGTGAATTGTTGATCCGACTCAAACTGTTTAGTATGAAAGCATTGCGGCAGTGGTAATGTAGTCCTACATACAGCACATACTTTGAGACATGGTTTGCTTGAAATGTGCGGGATGCTGGGGATGAAAAAGCACAAAGGCAACCAACTGATAACCGAGCACTGGTCGTCGTTTGAACTTTACATCGATTCATTTGCACGTCATGTTATAAAAGGCCGGGCTCGTTTTGTTAATCACGCATGCCAGCGTTACTATTCCACATTGTATGGCTTTGAAAGCGCTGCAAAGATGCGTTGTGGCCTTTTAGTGGCCTCCGGCGTCATCAGCAAGATCACCTCCTGCTTGGGTCGCGCAGAAACAAGCCATACATTTGGAAGCATCACAAAGTTGGGTGACTATGCGTTGGCTCATGCCACCGATGCGTAGGTGTGCGAGGGAACCTTACAGTAACGTTTACACGCATGTGCTTGTCCGAAAACCCAAACACCGACAATTGTCCGTGTATAATAACGATAAGTAATTAAACTGACAGGCACAGCGCTTTGCACAGGACGTGATACACTGGGCTGTAAAAAAGATTGTTCGACAACAACATCCAAAGTGACATCCAGAGGAAGTAAGCTCGGACGGTGAAAGCGAAGGAGGGAGACACAGAGAAAGCTGCCCCCATGGTTCTCCCGCCCTCACTCCCATCCTCCTTACCGGAAAGTGCAGTAAAAGTGTTAAGAAGGCGTCGCAATATGGTTCAGCCACATCCCAGATCCACAAAATCTGACATAAGCATTGAGCCGTTGAATGAGAAGAAGCAAGGAAACGAACCGCGTTGGCATCCAAAACCGCTCAAAGGATTCGTTCTCACTGGGAGCAGTTTGATCCAACGCTGACAGATCCCAAGCTAATGGGACAGGCCTCGTTCGCAAATGAATGTCACTTACGTCATGTCGCGTTCGTTATGTTCGGTAATGAACATTTTGCGTCGGCCCGCCACCTAGATTCGCCGCATTTGTGCGCCGTCTGTCACATCTCCGCAGTCGTAGCTGTTCATGAAAATGAGCCAATCAGAATGGATCCAACAGGACTGTCACCAGCATGAAAAACACCCATTGGCCATATTTTTGTCCGAATTTTGGCACACATCTACGTCAATCAAATTGTGGCTGACAGGCGGGACATAAAACATCGATAAGACATAAAATAAGATAGAAAACATGCGATGTTATTTTACAGCACGCAAGAAATTGTGCGGACCCGTCTGCCTGTCTGTCTGGTCTGCCCTGTCCTGTCTGACCTGTCTGGCATTTCAAAAGCGGCTCTCGCTCATTTTCGGTTTCCTTTTTTCCTATTTAAGAACGGCTGTCCCACCTTAGACTGCTTGGCCCGGGGCCGGCGGCACCGGGGTGACGGGGGGACGCGTCCCCTTCTGTGGTCGGATAGAGGGGATAGTCCTCCTATCCTACCGACTTTCTTGCAGGACAAATGTATCTTTCACACAGATTTTCACGAAGGGCCCATATTCCCAATTTTTACCGTAGCGAAGTTGCATTACACTGGTAGGATTACATAACTACGAATTTGGTATGATGCTTCTAGGACTCCACAAGACCGCTCGATGATATTCCTCATACTGTCCGAGCACACTCAATGTTTCCCGTGCTTGGAGTTCAAAGTTGGATTATGGGGGGGGGGGGGGGGAATTGGCTCATCATGTGCGTGCAGTTCATAGATGGTCAACTTTCTAAGGGAAAAGTGAAAACTTATATTGAATTGTAGTGCACGTGCTGCGATTTATCATTAATTCCCCAGGTACTACTTCTTTTTCGCACGATCCGTCAATGACCATCACATGATGCCACCACTTTCACCGTCGCTTTCTTGCAGAAGCTTTATAACCCAAATGTGTACAGCCCTGTACTTTTGTGGATGCTTCATTTACATCGCCCGTCCGTCCCGGTGGCCCAGGTGGTTAGAGCGCCCGTCTTCCAATCCATCCACCCATGGCGGGCGGGTGGATCGGAAGGTGGTCAGGTGGCATTGGAGGGCAGGACGAGCCGTGCTGAACGTCACGTCACAGGCTTTCGCTACCAAATTTTGTTGTTGACCTGTAATCGCGCGATCGGATGGTAAATGTCAGGGCTCATACAAGTAATGATTAGCTTAGCTCTCATCCCAGAAATCCATCCAGTCAAAATTTGATTGAATAAATTATTTAATCGTACACCTAGAAAATGCGTGTGTATATTTTCCTTAGGTGTTTCACGAGAAATATTTAGAGATCTTAAATCTTATTCAGGGGTCCCGGCCCGAAGGGCCGGGCACTCAAATGCCAGCCATAGGGCCTGCGCGCTTATCTGGGGCCCACTGAGTCAATAAGAGCCTATATTTCGGTCAGACGCCACCAGTAACGCACAATCGGGTCCGTGGCGGCATGGACCTAAGGGCCAATTTTCCAAGCAGGTACAAAGCCGGAGCCAACGATTTACATTGCTCGGGCCCCACAGCCCCTAAAAGGGGCCCTGCGTTGTCAAGGAGCCCGATTCAACCGGAGGCAGTGTTCGAGGAGGCTCGAAGAGTCTAGAGGGCCCACCGGGTCCGACGATCATGGGCCCGATTGGAGGTCCAATGGCATGCAAGGCTGATCGACGTCTTATTGAAGAGTCCAGATCTGCGAAGATGGACCCTCAAATAACGGCCAGAGGGCCATTTGCGCCGGTTGGGCACTCCCTGAGTCGATATGGGCTTATATGTTAATCAGGTACCTCCGTACCACATATTCAGCTCCGTGTCGGTATGGGCCTGAGAACCCACTTCCCAATCAGCTATAAAGCCGGGGCCAGTAATTTGCACTGGTCAGGGCCTTGCAACAGAGGGCCTTGTGCTCGCAAGGGCCCCGAACCGACCAAGGGAACTGCTTGATGCGGCCCAAAGAGGGGCCCGGGCGGCCCACTGGAACCGGCAATCAAAGGCCCGGTTGGAGGATTTAAGGGCCCGAAGGACTGGCTGTGAGCCACATCAAGAATTGTGGCCCGTAGGGTCGTGACCCGAAATATCAGTCAGAGGTCCTCTTGCACCGTTTTAGGAACCACTGGGACAATGCGGGGACTTAAGTCGGTGAGAGACCACGAACACCCTGTGTCGGTTAGGGGCCACAGAGCCGCCCATGGGGCCGTGATCTCAAATGTCAGTAAGATGATTTCTTGCATCGATACGAACCCTTGAGACAGAGCGTTCCTCTACTTCGGCCAGAGCTCACGAACAACGAACAGTTAGCTCCGTGTTGTTCTAAGTTCTGGAGGTCTATTTTCCAAGCAGGGACAAGGCCATACCGCGATTTACATTGGTCGGGTTCCTGTATCGTTCAGGGCCCACAGTGCCTAACAGGGCATGCTATGTCAACAAGGGGCCTCGAATCGGTTGGAGGAAGATTTGTTCAACAGGGGCAGGGACGCGAGTCCGAATGGCAGAGAGCCTATTGTGTTGGTGGGGCCCTCTGACAATGGGAGGAAACAAGGAATTATGATGAGTGCTCACATTGAGGTAAAATCTCCTGACTGACCTGTGCCAGACCGGGCCTCAGTCCCGAACGGTTGGCCCTCCAGCTCTTTTCCAGCATGGGTCCGTTAAGAAAAACTGGAGTATATGTGGCAATTATTTGGCTATCTGCGGTAAGCAGGGATGTTGTTGCAATTGTGACGGTTTATGTGCCGATCCGGGGCCAACTGCGCGAGTCAGAAGGCCTACCGCGTCAGGGAACGAACCAATGTGCTATGATGTATTCATCTGAGGGCCTCCGGATCGGCCAGGGGATGCCGCTCGGTATCGCCAGAATGACGGCCGAAATCACACCGCGGTGGGACAAAATGGCCCTTCAGCTCTTGGCCAACAGTGTGCCCCATGGTGTTGTGCTTAAGATGCCCCCCCCCCGTTAAGCAATAAGGAGTCTCATCAGTGCTGAATGGAGTGGTTTGACATGAGTTCAAAACGCACAGGGGCATCCCATGTTTCCTTGAGACCGTCCATTCTCGGACTCGAGATCATCTCTCGAGACTCGGCACCGCGCCGAGTGCCGATGGGTTAGCAGTTAACGCACCCACGTTAACCACTGCGCGTCTGGGAAACCACGGGTTCGGGGTTTGATTCCCGATTGTGTCCGCCCTTCTCGCCAGGGTGAGAGGCTTGCGGCGCCATAGGGCCCCAACAGCTGAGTGCGTCATAAAGCCCCAATGACACGCCCGTAATCTCAAGGGGAAAGGGTAGCGATGGCTTGGGTCGCAGTTTTCGTAAAACCGCACGGCGCTGGCCATTGTAAGTAACGCCAGGGGGGCGGGCGCCGAGCGCGCAACAATGACCATCGTAGAATAATGTTTCTGAATGTTTTTTTTTCTAAATTAATTCCTACGGTTCAAAGATTACACCGGGCGAATCTTTTTCAAACTTTGAGGTTGTCCTTTGGACAGATTAGCAATTACGCGAACACGACAAACATAAATTTTGTATTTACTATTTCTGTTCCACAACCAGGTTGCAGCACCACTTCGCGTCACTCTCTTCGTCCACCTGTTGGCCGCAGCCAAGTGTGGGCCGCGGGGCAGGTGCTGTGCGGCCTATGAAGACCGCAACGTCTAGCGTCGAGTTTTTTTATTTTTAAGATATGCGAGCTCGCAAGCTTAAAACTGCGTTACATAATTTGTACCATTTATCAATTATGACTGGATGTTAAAGATATCCAGACGAAAATTGACTGACCATGTTAATTCAAATTGTTGACCCATTTTGACTTCCAAACTATATCCGCCAAAGCCTTGCTATTTCTGTACAACCCAGATAAAAATTCTGACAAAGTTTCTGAGTTCTACCAGTTTAAAAGAGTCAACAGTACCATTGTGAAATGAAAGGAGCCGGCGGTTTAGTTCCATGCAGTCATTTAACGCGTGATTTTGTCAGGTTATTTACCATAGACTTACGGCAGAATTGATCTAGCGGTAGCGTCTGGCCAATATTCCAGTTAAAAAGGCAAAAATGTGTGATATACATGTATATATATATATATATATATATATAATCTAAGAAAAACATGCCCTCAATAACAAATGAGCCACATCCGGCAATTTTGGGGGGGCTCTTTTGCTATCAGGGAGCCCCTTGTCAACCCTGTGCCTCCCTTGCCAAGGCTCTGGCTGCGTCCCTGCTTATCTATACGCATAGTGGTTCTCACAGAAGCACTTAACAACATACCGTTCATGGTGTTATAACTTGTGGCGGAATGGCTTTAAATGAGTAGTGACACGGTGGCGGTGACTATGGCGGCGTCGGCGGCGCTGGCCAGGTCAGCGGCGCCGGGCCTGTGCCGTGCCGCGCGTGCCGGCTGGCTGGTGGAGTCGGCGGCAGTGGTAGTGGCGGTGGCGATGGTGCCGGTGGCGATGGCGATGGCGATGGCATTCTCGGCAGCGTCGCGACATCAGGGTAGTCGGCGGCGGCCAGCTACGATAGCCATGTCGTTGGCCTGACCTGGCCGGGTCGCTTTGAATGGGACGATCGGTGAGCGGGGGTGGGGGGGGGGGGGAGGGGGGCATGACTGAATGGGCGGCCGGTTCTGCTTTATAGACCTAGTTGGTTCAGACGTACGGTCGAGATGTGACGTGGAACACGGAGAAAGGATGCGGTGCGGTACACGGAGAAAGGAGTATTGTTACGGCCGTGTGTGTCCTTGCGGCCGGCTCCGACCAGGTGAGGCCCATGAAATGACTATCGCAGCTGGCTATCGCCGACTGCCCGAATGCCGCGACGCTGCCGCCGCCGCTGCTGCCGCCGCCGTGGTCGCCATCCCACCGGCACGCGCGGCGACATTATTGTGACATTCTTGCGACTTTCCATGAAATGACTATTGCGACATTATTGTGACACAGCTTGTGACATTCTTAGTCCAGGTCGCGCGGAGGCTGCCTATGTGTACCAACCCTACGGGGACGCCCAGGGGCAGCGCCACCAGAGGGGCGAGGAGGGACCACTTCTTTCCATTTGCCAAAGAGGCCCCTGGTGGCTACGTTGCATCTCTCCCTGTCCTCTCTCGCAATGTGAGGCACAACGCGCGGAAACCCATCCACAAAGCCGTTGAACTTAGCCGTCTTCTCATGATCCTGCCCGCCAGTTCAGCCATAGCCGAATGCAAGCTCAGCGTCCGACAGTGTCTGACAGCTTGCCCTGCCTAATGGTAACGTAGAGAAGCTTAAACACAACAGCGTTATGCTACGTACTCGTCCTCGTCTGGATCAGATGGATCCAGTTCATGCCAAAGTCGCTTTTGCGAGAATAAACGGATTAAATCAAAAACGTTTTATTTCGCTTACGTCTGCACAATCTAAATGGTAACCAGGTGCTGTATTCGCAAGACAATCAATATGATCCAGGACCCAGGGATCGAATTTATGAAATAACCAGCCGAAACCAAGAATCAAAAGCATTGTTCCCAGAAAGGGAAAGTAGGAACCAAGAACCAGCATTAGGAGCCAGGCACACACATGCCTGCACGGCACCAGGGCTATGAAAAGAATAGCGTCTGCGACGAGCGCCGCCGCTGTACGGCAACTCCAGCCGCGGGCGCCTGTCCTGCTGCGATCGTGTCAAAAACTGGTCAAAGGGGAATTGTATGGGCATAGATAAAGGTGCATGGTGGTGCTCAGGTGCAAGCATGGTGCTCAAAGCACATCGGCCACCTGATAGTCTTTGGACGTGTTCCGTATGTTCCGGTCGTGAAGGCTCGAGCGCTGTTTTCCTACCAGGAGCGTTTACCGGGTGAGCGAGGACAGACCCAAGGCAGGGGACCCAACGATGCGAGGCAGCGAAACCCCCTAAATCCAAGGCATGTAAACGGAGACCTGGCGTGCTCAACCTGCAGATGTCTTCCGATGTTGGCATTTCCCTCAGTACCTGTCTGGGATCTGTGGAGCCTCGTAGCAGGGTCAGAGCAGCAGGCAAGCTGGCCGTGGGCTGGGAACTCCCCCGTACCCAGCAAAGCGTGAGACAGAGCGGAACCTGGAAGAATAGCACTGATCCGCCAGAACTGGCAGCCGCTCTGTCCACAACAGAGGGTCATCTGATTACCTCCGTGGCTGATTGACAGGTGGGGACGGACCAACCATCTGCGGGAAAACACCGGCACGCATTCCCTCCCCTCCTGGATCCGGCGTGGCGGCCGCCCTGTTATGCAAAGCACGACGCGTCAAAAGAGGACATCTGTCGCCGACCGGAACGATGGCATTCAAGCGGCGCGCGACGTCCAAAGGTCGGCAGAACAAATCACCGGGCCAACCCCTCCACCCCCTCCCCCCCCCCCGCCTCTGCTCCCCGAGCCCCGCATTGACGGTGCCCAGCTGGGACCAGGAGCCCGCGCCTCGTTTGGGAACTAGGCCAGAGAGCCGTGCATGGCCCGCCCGAGGCGAGGCACGAAGAGAGCGGGCGGGCCTCGCAAGCGGCACACACCACGCGACACACAAGCTGTCACCTCCTGGGCGCGCCGAGTGAGCACGAGCCCGGCGTCCGCTCAGCGACCGGTTGGGAGGAGAGCGGACTCCTGCCGGAGGATTGGGTAATCCAGGAAGGACAGAAACCCCACTCCCCGTTGCGCAGGCACTGCAAGGCTAACCGCCGTGCGGGGCTAGCGGAGAGGCGGGCAGGAGTGTGCAACAGCCGCGCAGTGCAGGACTCCGACGTCGGCCCTCTCAGTCATCCGGTCTGGGCGTCTGGCGCAGCGAGCTACTGGCAACGGCTCGTGTAAGGTGAGTGCAGGGATGCTGTCCCCGTCTTGACGGGACCATGAATGGCTGTGTGCTGCGAAACTGGCCCTTTGTCCAAGGGGTGTCGACTTGCTTCTTTTGAGAGGACCCTGCCCCCAATTTGAGTTGTCCCCTGATGTTGGCTTGGACCCCCGAATATTGTTTCCCGAAATATTACAAATGGAAAAGTTGGGGAATGGGGAAAAGCATGGGGAAAAGTGCCAGAGGACGACCGACTTTTTTGGTCTTTTTTGGTCTTTTTTGGTCTTTTTTAGTCTTCGTAGTGCTCAAGCCATGAAGGGTGCAGCGGGATGACTTGACCACGGCAACCTCAAAATTGTTTCATCAAGGTGCTGGGTGACTGAAGACATTGACGGCGAGCCACTTCACATTTTGCGGTTTTTTGTTTTGCATATCAAACATAAACCCAGGTGTTTTCTCCCCACAACCCAAGCATGACAATGACATTACTAATTCACCCGTCTCGCGGTCTCTTTAATGCCAGGCGACATTTGGTTCCCTACCCATTGTTGGCTACGAACCGAATACTGTTTACTTGAAGCTGAAACGCGAAGTGCCTTCTTTCAATGTCTCGTGAGAAAATAAAACCCAACAGCATGTGTTTTTGTTGCCGCATCGTTAGTCGTGATTATGAACACAGTGTAGATACAAGTTGACTAGCAATACGGAAAACCATTCAGGCCAAAATTCAGCCCAAAATTTTCGCACGCCGCTCACGAGCCACGAAAAAATCATAACGTAAATATATCTCGTAAGACCACGGGTTAGACCAGCGACCGCGGCGGCCCGCTGGCGAGAGCTAGGGCACGACTGGCGCTCACGGGGAGGGGGGTGCGAGTGGCAGAGCGCTGGCAGAGTGGATTTGGTGACCGAGGGTGGTCACGTGCGCTTCAGCGAGATGACCCGTCCTATTCGCGGTGAGCCGAGCCTGTCCCGATCCAGCTGTTGGAAGCGGCCATGAGTATCCACTTAAGTCTGTGCATTTCAGCCCTCGCCGGTCCCGATCACACTTTCACGGAAGGCATGTTTGGCTGGGACTGTTCGTCTATTGGTTGATTCGTTGTTTTCTTAAACCGTTCCGAGAGCTCGGGTCGGTCAAACTCTAACTGGACCAAGTCCAGCGCGCGTGTGCGGATTTCCCTTCCGATCATGGTTTCTTGTTCCTGCATGCCGAGTCGCACGCTAGACATCAGCTGGCTTGTAGGCTGACCAATGGGCTCCTCGCATAAATATCACTCTTGGGAGGTGGCGCGTGCCGAGGCGTTTCCAGCGACGCCAGGGATAGCATGTGCAGAGGCGTCCCCAGTGGCACTAGAGATGGCGTGCGCAGAGGCATCCCCAAGCACCAGGGATGGAGCGTGCAAAGGTGTCCCCAGCGACACCAGGGATGGCATGCGCAGAGGCGTCCCCAGCGACACCAGGGATGCCATGCGCAGAGGCGTCCCCAGCGACACCAGGGATGGCATGCGCAGAGGCGTTCCCAGCGACACCAGGGATGCCATGCGCAGAGGCGTCCCCAGCGACACCAGGGATGCCATGCGCATAGGCGTCCCCAGCGACACCAGGGATGCCATGCGCAGAGGCGTCCCCAGCGACACCAGGGATGGCATGCGCAGAGGCGTCCCCAGCGACACCAGGGATGCCATGCGCAGAGGTGTCCCCAGCGACACCAGGGATGGCATGCGCAGAGGCGTTCCCAGTGACACCAGGGATGCCATGCGCAGAGGGCGTCCCCAGCGACACCAGGGGGTGGCACGCGCAGAGGCGTTCCCAGTGATTACCAGGGATGGCATGCAGAGGGCCGTCTCCAGTGACACCAAGGAAGGTTGCCCTAGCAAGAGCACGTAGTGACGGGCCGGAGACACAGACTAACCGCTGCAGTCGGCCTGACCAGAAACACAACGATACCAAAACACTTGACCAATGGCTGTTAACAAGTAACAATGGCTTACTCTTCCCTTGGTTTAGTGAGAATCGGGTTTAGCTATTTTGCTTCCTGCATAAAAGGTGATAATATGTGGGGTCCTGGCCAAGAAATGTGTAGGTCATATGGACACATTATACCATAATGTTATTGACAGCTTCAAGTGCATTTTCAAAATCAATGAAAGGCTTAGATGGGCAAGATATGTCATGTAAAGACACTTTTAACCACTTCGGACTTTGACAATTCTTAGATTAAGAACCAAATCAGTAATTTTGGGACAAGTGCTCACGTGCATAATGGTATCGGTTCAGACAAGATTATGAAATTTGTCAATCTTTGGCGCGTGACACGAAGACATACCGGCGTGGATAATACATACTACAGTAACAAAAAATATTCGCGAAATTTGAAAAGTCGTGTCTGAATCTGGGGAATA